AAAGTCTTAGTTGAAATGTTATCCTGTTTTTCATACATTTTAGGGCCACAGATGTATTGACTTGGATTTGTTTGAGCTTTATTTTTGGTTGCACTTACTGATCATGTTTTTCTCTTCTCACCAGGATGCAGTGGCAGACAACGAGCAGAGGAAAAAGCAGGAGGACGCAATGAGAGAAAAGTTACTGGCTCAGGAGGCGAAACAGCAAGAGCCCAAGGTACAGTCAAAGTGCAACAGAGCTGAATACTCAAATGTTTACTCAGAGCTAAATAAAGTAAACCGGACAAATATCCTCTCCTCCGCTGATCCAGGTCCAGTCCCAGAAGAAGAGGCAGCAGCAGCACGAGCTGATCGCAGAGCTGCGCAAGCGGCAGGCCAAAGACCACCGGCCCGTGTACGAGGGCAAGGATGGCACCATAGAGGACATCATCACAGGTGGGACAGACAATACCCTAAAAAGACCCCATGTGGGGGCCAGCAGCCCCGGTAGCAGGTCGAGGATGACTGTGGTCATTCACTGCTCAGCTCCTTTGAAATGCACCTTGTGCTATGTAGTCCAGACACCAGCACATCTGGAGCCCAGAGCAGCACATCTGGAGCCCAGAGCAGCACACCTGGAGCCCAGAGCAGCACCTCTGGAGCCCAGAGCAGCACATCTGGAGCCCAGAGCAGCACAGCAGCCTCCGGTCACTCCCGGCTTAGAAATGCACTGCACTAAAGCTTTCGAGCCTCAACATGTAGATAGTCAGACGGGCAGTTTGATTCCAAATGAACATTACATTTAGTCTGCAGAATCATTATTTACAGTATCATTATTTAAGTCATTTTTATTATTCAAATAACAGTTTCTGTTTATAGGAACTGAGACACAGACCGTGGATAATACTTAGACGTTTTAGATTCCCACATATCTGAGCTTTAACGTAAAGAAGAAATACACATCTACTGTACAGCCTCAGGATAACACCTTAACTGACTAATGTTTTGTCAGGATCAGTGCTTAAAATAATATAAATGTTGCATTAATGTTATTGTAATAGTTAATAATGCTTATATCCCACTACTATTTAAGCTGTTAACAGCTTATTTTGCAAATGATACCTTTCAAAGATATCCTCGGTGCCCCTTATCTGATAACACTTTACATTAAGTACCCTTTTTTAGCAAGTATTTGATAAATGTTTTATACCATAATGTAATGTTGTCGTATGTAAATATAAGGACATGTTTAAGTGTTCATTAATGTAGTATTTATCAGGGACTATCATTTCTTCTATGAAGACTTATTTAATATAATTACAGCTGTTTTTTGTAAAATGATGTCTATTTGTTTACAAAATAGGGCGACTTATAGTAAAGTGTTGTCCCTAATCCTATTAAATACCTCCTGAGGGTTTTACCAGGTGTGTTTCTACAGATCTGTGCGACATAAAGAAATGTCACAGGTTTGTTTTACGGACCCCTGAAAGAAACCTAAAGGAGATCCAGTGTTTGTCCCCCATGAAGGGCAGTGTCTCAGGTGTGACATGTTTTCTCTCCCCCCCCTCCTCCCCCAGTACTGAAGAGCGTGCCCTTCACAGCGCGCACTGCTAAACGCGGCTCACGGTTCTTCTGTGAAGCCAACCTCTGTGACGACGCCAACTGCTAGCCCCTCCCCCTAATGCCAAGGTTGTCCAGGGGTCTCTCGTACGCCTCATGACCCACTGTGCATGCAGCATGATCCCTGTCACCTCCCCAACCTCACCCTCACCCTCACCCTCACCCTCACTATAACTACTGTGAACTAACTTGGGCCGTCATTTGGTTGTTTCTGTTTAAAGGACTCCTATCAGGCGTCAGGTGATAGGAGTCAGCCAAACCTCTTTGCCTGAAGCACCATGGGAAAAAAAGTTGTACAGGGTCAATATATTTTTGTGTGTGAAAAAAATATATTGATAAAAACGAGTACAACCAGCCATGACTACGATACAATTCTTTAATGAGAGCTTCTTGCATGACGAATGTAAAAGGCTGTGCATTATTATGGCATATTTCTTTCATTTAACTGGATATAAAATGGTCGCTCAAAGAGGTTTGGCTAATTTTATCAACAATGCCTGTTCCATGAAACTAACTTGTTTGGTGTTGGTTTCCTGCTAACATGTGACTCTTCTTTCCTCAACCACCACTGTTTATTCTACCACCTCCAGCTGAAAAGAAGATTAATGACAGTATTTCCCACTCCTATGAGAGGGTAAGGAAGGTAGCCTGGCTTAGTCCCGGCCTGCTTGGCCCTCCGGCTCCTGTGTGCTGCTACAGTGATGTCAGCTGCTTCAGCTCGAGCTTTTATGCAAAAAACATTAAAAAAGAGAAAGCTTCACAGCACTGAAATTTGCTTTACAACACACTAGTTAGAAAACAAGATCATTAAAGACTGGAATACAATATGATTTGCCCCAACAGCCATTAAAACATGAATTCCCTTTTTTATTTTTCCACCAAGTCTTTGAGAACATATTTGTAGATTTGAAATGCCCCCTTGTGAATCTTAAGGTCATCTTTATCATCATCATCCTCACTCCTCCTATTATGTGTTGCATGTTGTCCAGTGTTCATTCACCCTTACCTGTCAACAACGTCCGCCATGTTTTGTCTTTGCTAACTGTCATCCGCGCTGTGCTGAGCAGCTATTTGGTCAACAGGCTCTGAAAATATCCCACATTCAGTCACATAAACAGCACATGAACTCAGTCTGTGTCATTTGTCACAGAGTTGAGAGGTTTTTCTGTTACTTCAGGCACATTCAGCTCGATTATTGCCGAGCGATTTAAAGAGCTTGTTGACCATTTTACTGTAACTGTAATAATAATGGCTATTTTTATTGGTACTGCTGCAATATAAGTGTTACAAAGTTGTCCTAACAAGCATTCCCAAAGCCTTGCATTTCACTGTTTTATGCATCACCACCTCCAGGCGAAATGCAAGGTTTTGGGAACGTGTCATTTGATGTTTAGTCTTTATTGTTAATGCCCTTATTTGCTAATTTGATACTTTTGAGTATAACAGTAGATCAAGTTTTAACTGCAGAAGTAATTAAATAGTAATAGCTTTTTATAATTTGACCAAAATATACATATACACTCAATTGCCAGTTTATTACTGATACCTAGATAAATCTAATGCAACAATCCTACCTTTATTATGTTTATAACGTTCAGTTTTGGAGGATGTTTGTGGCACTTTTGAGCTGTATTGCATTAACAAGAAAGGTGTTTCTGTTATTTGTCTTACCCTCTGAAAAGAAGTGTTGGACAAAATAATAGAAACACCTTAGGTAATTAGGTGTAGCTGTTGAACTGGTAAACTGGAAAAGAGAACAATAGATAGGAAGAAGACATTTTGCAGATTGACCCCTGGGTCCTCTAACATGTGTGCCCCCGTCTCTCACCCCTCTCTCCCCCCCTACTCACAGATCTCCGAAACCAGCCTTTCCTGCGAGCTGACGCATTGATCCGGAGCGGTTGGAAGAGACCCTAAAACCACTTATTCGTCACTTATACTCCCCCCCCCCCCCCCCCACACTATAACCTCCCCCCCCTGTGTCCTGATGGTCTATCTCAACCCTGAGGCTGCAGATCACAAAGACTGAGAGGAGGGACAGAGCTGGGTAATTTATTTATTTATGGAGGCCCTTTACAGCCACTTTAAGTGAGCAGGCATCATTACAGAAGGGCTACTTCTGTCTCAAGGCAGACAAAAGACTTTCCCTGCTCTGTGCCACGGGGAGAGAGAGGACTACGAGACAGGTGAGTTGAGGACTGGCGGACCACAGAGCAGGAAGAACTTTGCTTTTGCGAACAAATGCCTGCCACCATGTGGATCTTTTTCCCAGAGACTGTTCATTTCCTCAGATTATGCAGACGTAGCAGGACTGAGAGTCAGCCAAGGACAGATGCCAACTCTGCTGCTGCTGGGATGTTTGCCTTAAAGAGACTTCTAATCATAATAGACAAGCTTCTATATCATGAGGCATTTACGTTTCCTTACTTCAACACATTCAATCAAGACTTCAATCGCATGTACCTTGGAGGGAAGAGCGTCTATTCTTCTGATTCTTTTGGACAAGCTAATCAAACCAAAATGTCTTCAATGTTTTATGTTTTGCTTAAGAAGTGCCTTTTTGTGTAAACGGTGTTATCAGCCATCATTTCTTGTTTGACAGCCTTCATTTGTTAAAGATTGTATTTTCAATTGCCTTGTTGTATAACATTAGTCTTATAATACTGACAATATGCAAAAGATGAAACGTCCAGCTTTAAGGTAACAACTAGAACGTAAGATAACTATTTTGTTTACCTCTCTAGTAGATAAATGTCTTTACAAATGGACTTTTATTTGTGCCTTGTCCAAGTAGTTCTTAACGATGAATGTTATATGCCTCGACAACACTTTCTGTCACACTTTAAAGTGACATTTGGGAGGTGACAAATGTGTAAAGAAGAAACCTGCTGCGTAAGGGCTCGGATGATTTAAACCTGCTATAGATGTGGTGATGGATGAAGGACGTTTCCATTCCTATGAGGTCTTAAGCTTTTTTGATTTTGAGAGATGATGAAACTTACATGACATTGGCACAAAGGGAGCGAGAGATCTTTACACTACTTAATTTGGCTCAATGTATGAGACACTTGTCTTAGTAGACATTTATATTCATGTACATTCAAATCAAGAAATTTACTTTTTAAAATATATGCTCAATGCTATTGTATATTGACTGAAAGATGAACATTCCTAAATAATAAATATGATACAATTATGTAAATACAAGACTGTCATTATATCTCAGAGTTTAAACAAAGCTGTTCTTTCTTTGATGAAGCAACATTCAAAACAAGTGATTACTATATTTTAATGTTTTATTTCTGATTTCTTAAAGGATATTTGTTTACTTGTGATGTACTCCAACCAGAAATAATTAGAGATTACTTTTCCTTCTCTCAAAATGAGGGACAGAGCCACCGTACCTTTCTACTATAAAAATCCATTTAATTTCTTATATCAAAAAGAAATAAAATCATAACAAAACAATCAGAACCACAAATATCCATGTGGGTTTTTTCCACCAAAAGAAATTCTCCAACTGAAAAATGATTGTTCTAATTTACATGTGAAAATCTAACAGAGCAGGATGCAAAGAAATCAAATGTGATGAATACTTTTGACAAGTGAGGGGCAAAGCTAGTTTCCTACAGGATGGGTGTGTGGGTGTGTGTGTGTGTGTGTGAGCACCATGCAGAGTGATATGACAGGTATGGCTGATAAGCTCAGTTAAAAGCATCGTGGTGAGCAGTGAGACAGAGAGAGCAACACTTTAAGACTAAAAACCAGTTTGACTGACAGACAGAGGGTTAGCGTTAGCAGCAAGGCAAAGGAATTAACAAAGGAATGCTTATCAGGAAGCTCGTCCCCTTCCTGGGAATGCACTTAACAATGAGCATTAACCTAAATTACACGTCCATGTAATTACATAGGCCTACAATTTAAAAAGACAAAAAAAAACTCAATCTCGCACAGAAGTACATACCATCAAACTGCCTCCCCGCACTTTCCTGAAATTACATTTACAATCAAAAGACAAGGAACAAAAGCCAAATGCAACCATCCTCAGCTAGTTGATCATCGCAGGGTGTTTTTCAGTGATGACCGGAAATTCACAGAAGCTTACCGTCACTCTAAAAAGAAAAAAAAGACCTTTAACAGTTTCAGAGCTAAATCCGTCTCCAGAGTGTCCTGCAGTAAACCAAGGCCACGGATATCCATCCCAGACTCTTCCTCCTGGAATGTGGACTTTGTTACAATCATCTTCATCCAGCACACTGCCATTGACTCATTCATTGCTGACAAAAAGTATGCCGCTTATACGAAAAAAAAGTTTAAAAGTACGGACTGCTATTTGTTACTGATGTTTGTATTCCTGGGTATATTTTCAAGACACTTTGTTAATAGGTTTATATATATGCAAATATATATATATATATGTATAACTTCAGTCTGTGCAAGGAGGTCAAAGACAATCACTTGAATGTAGTTCTTCGAGACAACACAACAGACGCCATCTTGGATTCTGCGTGCTCCATGTGAACTCCTCCAGACCTCCAGCAGCACATCCCATAGTACACATGACGTGAAAGACAGAGCCACACCAGGAAGCATTTTTAGTGAGCACTGACCCTTTTTCTCTTTCAGGAACAACAAAGACTTGGCAACGTTTTCTAGGATGGAACAATATTCTTTTTTGTCCTCCTCCCCTATAGAATTCATACAAAAATAAAAAATAAAAATTGTTCCACTGCCGTTTGTATCTCTCTATCTTTTACATTTGCACAGAGGTAGTGGCTATATGCGTGAGAGGGGAGGGAGAGTTGTGAGGAGGAGGTGAGCAAAAATTAAAGAGAAGAACTGAATAAATGTCTATAAAATGGTTCCTTTTCGTCACCAGAGGGTTTTTTTTGTCAAAGAACAAAATATAATACTGCAATCACTTAAAAAAGTAGTCCTTCATTTTATACATTTTATACAGTGTTCTCGCTTTTTTTGTTGCTTTTCTTTTCAGTTGGTAAAGGCATAAGATGAGAGAGCTCGTGGGCTCAGCGCTGGGTTGGCAGAGTTCAGTCCGAGCTCTACGCCAGCGGGTCACTCATGTCCTCGTCGCCCGCGGAGAGCAGCTCCTTCTTTTCGTCCGTGCTGGCCAGAGAGTTGCGGCTGTGCTGGGCGCCCATGTACAGGGTGGCATACACTGGGTTGGTGAAGTTGGTGGGCTGCAGAGCAAAGGAAATTACATGGTGACTCAAAGGGCACATAGAGGCAGAGATTCTTAACATGTGAAGGTGGCATTTACTGCATGTTGTGTTTGAAAAGGTCAGAACATTCAAATTACAAGAAAAAACATTTAGGCTCTTAAAGGGAAGTTTACCCAAATAGAAACAACCAAAGATTTTCCCTCCTACCACCAGAACCTGCGCCAACATGTCTGGGCTCCTGTTTTTTTGTCAGAAGCACCTCACAAAGACCTTTCCTCTTCCTCACTATCTCTCTCGCTCGCTCTCAGTCATAAGAGTCTGCAGGGAAGCCCACACTACTTTGATTTTATCTTATTTACTTTTCTTAATGAATTGAATTTGGTTCAACCCTGTTTTTGTATTAATTCAAGTTGTAACAGGTTGTTGCATCAAAAAGCTGTTTTCAGTTTATATATGCATTTTTTTCTATCTATCTATCCCTAAATATAATATAGATGATAAATAACGTCATAAGCTGAGGGTTTGACATATCAAGAGTAATATTTCTGCTACCAACGCAAGTCAAATTGGGATCAAAGCATTGAGTGTGCCTTTCAAAATACATTGTCCTGGTCACTCTGGATAATTCATAGGCCTGTCTTAGAGTAGTTTCTATTCGATCTACTTTTTACCAAATAAATGCTACCAAACATCAAATTGCACTCTTCTCCTTGAGGGTGGTTGCAGGAGTTCCCAGAAATGCAGGTACATACAAATCATACATTAGCATTGCTTTTTACAACTTGGGGTCAATTCTTTTTCTTTTTCTGTGAGCAGACCACTATTTAAGAGCACTTTAAGCTTGTTACCTTGTCTGGGTCCAAAGCAAAGTCTGAATCCAGGAGCTCCCCAGCGTCATCGTCGGGGTCTCCTTCATAGATCTTATAGGCAGGGTTCCCAATCTCAACATTCATGGCTCCATTTGTCATTCGGTGGTGCTGGAAGCCCTTTGCACTGCAGACAGACAAAGGCAAACGCATTCATTAACAAAGCAAGCAATTACAAATGAATTAAGTGTGACAACTTGGCATGAACCAGGTACTGACTCAGCATCAGCAACATACGAATCACACAATCAATACAACATATATTTAAGGTTGTCAAATGAGCTTTTTGCAAAAAGGTCATATGATCAAACCCAGAGAATATACTGCAGCATGTCTATTGTGGAACATTTTGGATTTCCACATTGCAAATATTCTGCTATTTGCAAGCACATAAACATTGTTCATAGATGCACAGTCATATATTTTACTATGCAAGCACATAGTGTAAGCCTAACATGTAAACAAGGGGAAGGTATGGAGATGCAAGAAGGACGAAACGGTTCAATAGTTTGTGCATCACCAGCAAAGCTACATCAGATAAGAGTCAATACGTCCCTGTGTGGCTGGGTGGGAGAATGGCAGGCAAGGACAGACAGATTTCTACAAATACCACCAGACTGGACATATGGACTGACATACAGTATGGCCAATCTGACTGGATATTAGGGAAGGGGAGGGGACACAATTTGTGGGTCAACAGGTAAATGATGTAACCCTATGAAGTTACCGCGAGGACTGAGAGCGAGATTTGCCCCGCCATAGAGACCTGGGAGACAGGAAATCGTTGGTTATCAGGAGATAAGGGAGAAAGAGAAGCTAGATAGTGTGAGGAACAGATGAACAATGGAGCTATGATCTAAAGTCTAAGAAGACTCACCCGCGCATTCTCCGCTTGTACCACAAGATGGCACCAACAACCAGCAGGGCCAGTAACAGCAGCAGGAGCACTGGGATCACCACGGAGGCAGAACCTGTGAGAGAGCAAATAACGTGAGCAAATAGGACCAAAGTTCATATTTTTCAAACAAGACACGCTGAAATGTGTAACTTACTTCCACTGGAAGTAGCAGAATCCACAGAAGGTGCTGCAATTTCACATTGGTACCCCGTCCATCCCTCAGGACACCTGGACACACAATGAGACAGTTACAGTATGTGTGATTTATGTATGCAAATTATTAATAAATCGGGGTCACTACCAGTAGAAATGTAAACACTTTGGTTCGACTTATCAGTACAATAGAAATCTTAATTCCAAGTGAATTTGCTTGAAAAAATTGTGAGTTTAAAAGACAGAAAAAGGATGAAGAAAGTGTAATAATGTTTGTCGTTGTGTGTCATACTGTATCTTACTTGCACTGAGGCAGCAGTGTGCGGGTGTCCACTGAACATTGTCCATTTAAGCAATAGTCCAAACAGGAAAAGCAGCTGGGTTGGGTCTGACCGTTGGGACAGCTACACACACACACACACACACATACAGAAAACAGTTATTTATGTTGCTTGATAATAAGTCCTGATATAGCAGCATTAACACATTAAGAATGTTAAAACATATGGGTGCTATGTCTCAATGCAACATGCAAGGTGATGTGCATAGATAGATGTCTGATTTAAAAAATAAACATTCACTTACATTACAAATCTAAATATCATTTATTTTGTGAAGACTTCTAAGTGAACCTACCTGCAGGACACCTCGCCTGAGGCTGACGTCAGACACTTGCCCTTTCCACAGAAGGAACATTTGGCCAGCTCACACAGGTGTCCGATGAACTGTGAGGGGCACGTGCAGATTTTAGTGAAGTTGGCGGTCTGTAAGCAGGTTCCAGCGTTGTGACAGAACCCTTCACAGTTAGCTGAGGACGGGAAGAGAGACGTGTGAGAAGGGCAAAGAACTGACATAGATTCTAACTTTGTTTCAATGGATTGTATTAATGGTGGGGATTTTGCATCCAGTACAACAGAAGAATAAGTGCATCCATTCAGATTTGTTTCATCACCCATTTACAGTCTACGAGTGAGTCTAGTTCTCTAAATGTAGCAGCCTCTGAGGTTCACTCACTGTACTGGCACTGGTCCCCCTGGTACTCGGGGGGGCAGCTGCAGGTGGGCTGGTTGCCCATGTTGACGGAGCAGTTTCCTCCACTCAGGCAGTAGTCCTGACAGGTCTGACGGTTGCAGGTTGGCCCTGTGAAACCCTTCGGGCATCTGCAGGTCGGGGCACCTGGGACACAGGAAATACATTGGAGAGAAATGTAATGAACTTATACAAAGGATGCAGCTGTTTATCTCAACAACTACAATCTTTTACAGATTTGCCAAATTTTAGTTCATTAATAATTGAAATGAAAACATATTTTGCTAATTATAGAATCAGGGGATATCTGGAAATCACCCGCTGAAGCATGTCAGCATGTGATTGAAAATTCTCTGGACGATTAGTTACATCAAAGACATCAAAAGGATGATAGGAATGGTACTAACAATTTTCGGAAAAAAAGTTTGTTCAGCTGCCGTCTGTGGAATACATTTAGCTGTCGCTGCTCCCAGGCTGTCGAACGATTTGCCCCAACCCCGATCAGACTTGCTCCCACTTTGCCTGTTTTTAAGTTTATAGACCCACTTATTCTCCCGTGCTTTTGCAGACCACATATAAGACTTATCAGTCTATGCTTTTAAATTGGGGGTTTTATTTTCTTGTGTTTTATATTGTTTTTACATCATGTATGAGAGTTTTTAGTCTGTGGCTTTGAGTATGGTTTTATTGTCTCGTGTTTTACATTTGTTTTATGTCCTATCTGTTTTGTCTAAATGTATTTATGCTGCGTTTTATATATTTATTGATGTACAGCACTTTGGTCAACTCTGTTGTTTTTAAATGTGCTACATAAATAAAGTTGGATCGGATAAAGTAAATGCTTGAAAAATAATTATAACATAACATTTGCCATACCATATTTATTTCACTAAAAGGTTTCTATTTAAAAGACATCCAGACAGATTAAGGTATTCCCACTTAGGTTGGTCTTACAAAGCATTAAAAGGCCATTCACCTTTTGGAAATGTACAGAAAATACACAGCTGAGATCAATGTGTCTTACCTGTATGAGAAGCGGTGCATGTGCCTCCATTCTTGCAGTAGTCCCTGCACTGGTTGATCTCACATCTCTCTCCGGTGTAGCTGGACAGGCAGCGACACTTGGCCACCTGGCGGGAGTTTAGGAAGCAGCTTCCACCGTTCTGACACTGCAGGTCGCAGGGCCCTGAGGGGGGGGCTGTGGAGGGGGAGGACAATGCCATGATGAAGTTAAAATGTTGTATACAGCATCTGAATATAAGGCCTACCAGAAGAAAACCAACCAATGTAAAAGTGGGGTTATTGCTCAGTTAACTGTATGTGTACTTCAGTGTACTGTGACTCACTGAATGGGGACGTGGTGGGTTTCTGTCTCTCCACACAAGTGCCGTTGTCGGCCACGTAGTTGTTGGGGCAGGTACACACCGGCCCACTGGGGCTGAGCAGACACAGCCACTCACACTTCTTCCTGTCGCAGGGGTTCGTCACTGTTGCAGAGAAAAAAAGGGCATCATATAAGAAAAACTGTATAAAAAGGAATTCCAAATCCTTTTAAGATGTATAAATGAATAAGTCTTGTGAGTTTCAGGATGCAGGGTAACTCACCCTCTGGCTGCTTATAACGATGATAGAGGACGATGTCAGTAGCATGGTTGATGCCTGTGGTGAGATTTTCCATGGGGCCTTTGCCAAACTTGTTGACCCGGAAGACAATGTTATTGATATATGTGACGCCATATATGTAGTCCTCAAAGATGTCTATGCTGAATGGATGAAGCAGGTCTGGTAGGGGGGAAAAAAACAGTAATACGTTAAAAAGAAATACATCAGCAGACAACATACTAGATTTCTGAATGTCATGTGTCACACATGTTTGATTAGAGTGTAGAAAGAACTCAACTGTTTTTGATTCCAGAGACAGAAACGACAGGATCAGAGCCATCCAGACGCACACTGCCGATCACTGAGAGTTTAGCATCTGCCCAGTAAAGACGCTCGTTGAAGTAGTCCACAGCCAAACCTGTCGAGACAGAATGGAAGAAAATGCTGTCATTTTTATGTGTAGCTTCAAAAAGTAAAGCTGTCTGACTGTAAATGTTTCATAGTACTGTATATAGAATGTCTCGTAACAATATAAAGGCTGAAAAAAGGCACTGTACATGAAAAAAGGTCCACATCATAGTATTGTATGTCAACAAGTAATAAACATAAAAAACAGAATGGTTTAATATGTTAAGAGATAAGATAAGATAGGACTTTAATCATCCCGAAGGAAATTGTTATGCCAGAGTTACAAAAATACAATAAACACAGCAGCATAATAATAAAACTGTACACTAACAGTGAAGTAAAAAGAGCAATTCAATAGCTACAAGAAACATAGACGGTCACACAATTAATGTTAAATACTGTACAGTGACGAGCAGTATTTAGTACTGAAAAAAAAACGTATATGAAAGAAGTCCTAGTTTATTAAAATATGTTGAAAGCTGGTCATAGTGATGCAGTACTGACCTGTTGGCCACTGGATGTTCTCATGGACTAGAGTCTGTCTCAGAGTGCCGTCCATAGCAGCTGTCTCAATTTTAGGGTGGTTGCCCCAGTCTGCCCAATACATGGTTCTGAAGGGAAACAGAGTTGGAAAACACAATTAAAAAAAACATACAACAACAAAGCCATGATATAAATCTTATATTCTATACGACTGCTGCTTTGAGGCTCAGCACTCTCTATCTCTTACCCTCTCTGTGGATCCACTACGATGGCATAAGGCTCGTCTATCATGCCAGATACGAGGGTCTTGCAGTGCTGGCCGGACATCTGAGCCACTTCGATCACATCTCGACCCGAGTCGGTCCAGTACAGGTTACCGGCCACCCAGTCCACCGCTATCCCACGAGGCATCTTCAGCTCTTTGATCTGGAAACGAGCGGAGAGGCGATCACAGCATGCTCATGGGACTGTGTGTTTGTAACGGTGTGATGGGGAGTTTGTTTGTCTTTATTACCTGCAGGTTGGTGATCCTGCCCTCACTAGAGGTCGAATATGTGGAAGGTCCTGGAAGTTCGTAGGAGGAGATGCGGCCCGTGTGCCAGTTGGTCCAGAAGATGCGGTTGGTCTTGATGTGCAGATCCATCGCATCGATACGCACGCTGGCGTCGCCCTGGAAGGTCTGTTCGTAGCGCCAGTTGGGCATGCCGGGGTCCAGGCTGCGGATCTCATTGTCGTCGGCGATGTAGAGAATCTGTCGACTGCTGTTCATGCCTGGAAGGGAAGTAGAAAAAGTCAGAGCAAGTATGTTATTACTAATAGACACCTCTCTTAGCTCAGGATGTGTACCAGCTGCCTTCAAACATTCCGTGGTGCAGCCACTACTTAAAAAGAAAAATCTCGACCCCTCCATTCTCGCAAATTTTAGGCCCATCTCCCAGCTACCTTTTTTATCTAAAGTCCTGGAGCGAGTAGTCTACGCCCAGCTGCAGTCTTTTTTAACCACTCATGGCATTCATGAAAAGTTTCAGTCTGGCTTCAAACCCATGCACAGCACTGAAACAGCCCTTTTAAGAGTTTTTAATGATCTGCTCCTAGCCGCTGACTCAGGTAGCCCAGCTGTCCTGGTGCTGTTAGACCTGACAGCTGCCTTTGACACTGTGGACCATAGCATCCTGTTGTCGCAGCTCGAACAGTCCGCAGGCATCACAGGCTCTGCCCTTGCATGGTTCAGGTCCTACCTGACAGACCGTAGCTTCTCGGTACAGCTAGGTGCCTTCTCCTCTGCCAAAGCCCCTCTTACTTGTGGGGTTCCCCAAGGTTCTATTCTGGGCCCCATCCTTTTTCTACTATACATACTGCCCCTAGGTTCAATTCTAACAAAACACAACATCCCCTTCCATTGTTACGCGGATGATGTACAGATCTATCTGCCACTCAATTCAAATGTTAACTCATTACAGCTATTGATGGACTGCTTGACAGAGATCAAATCCTGGCTGAGCCAATATGTCCTCAACCTCAACGAGAGCAAGACCGAGGTCATCTTTTTTTGGACCCCAACCTCCAGCCTCTCCGGTTGATATTCTGGGCTCCCTCAATAAAAACATCCTCCCCTCTGTCATGAACCTTGGAGTGACCTTCAATAGCGCTTTTAAATTTGATAAGCAGGTCAGCACCGTAGTCAAAACCTGCTCTTTTTTTTTTTTTTTTTTTTTTTTTTTTTTAAATACGACTATTGGCCAAGACCAAGTCGTTTTTATCTTTTAAAGACCTAGAAAGGGTTATTAACGCCTTTGTTACCACAAGGCTGGATTATTGCAATGCTCTATACGTCGGTATGGACCAGGCGTCAAGTAGACGCCTGCAGCTAGTGCAGAACGCAGCTGTGCGTCTTCTCACTGGCCACAAAAAGCGTCACCACATCACCCCAATTCTGGCCTCACTACACTGGCTTCCAAATAGGTTCCGAATTGATTTTAAACTCCTTTTCTTTGTTTTTAAAGCACTAAATGGGCTGGCTCCGGCCTATATAGCCGAACTCCTCCATCGCTACACCCCAGCCAGAGCTTTAAGGTCTGCTGACCAGCTGCTGCTGGTAGTGCCCAAGACCAGGCTAAAAACCTGAGGTCACCGAGCCTTCGCAGCAGCTGGCCCTAGGCTCTGGAACACTCTGCCCCTCCATGTGAGGTCGGCCCAGACCCTAGGGTTTTTTAAATCCACTAAAGACTCACTTCTTCTCCCTGGCTTTCTAGTCAGAGCGGAGCACGACTCCTGACATTTCCCTGTGTTTGATTTTTACATTTGCTGTAATTTATTGTCTTCTGTTTGCTATCGCAGTAAAGTGTTTTTTATTGCATGTACAGCACTATGGCTCGACCAAAAATCGTTTTTAAAATGTGCTTTATAAATAAAACTTGATTTGATTTGATATAGATGGCTATTGAAACTAAAATGGACTATTATGAGGGTTTTAAAATAAAAAAGGAAAAGCAGTGTATAAAACAGCTCTGGTCCTCACTGTCAGCCTTGCAGGTGTCATTGATTCTGGTGAAGTACTTGTGGCAGCTGCATTTGTAGGAGCCTTTGGTGTTGTTGCAGACGTGGGAACACACTCCGAACTGCAGACACTCATTCTTGTCTGAAAAATGAAGAGCCAAAAGAAAAGTCAGAGATTAAATAGAACAAAAAATCAAAGCCCAGCTTGTCGCCTCCAAAGCATTGAAGTGTTTTTTTTAGGGAATATATACCTCCACAGGTGTGGTGTCCCGTCTTCTGGAAGCCTGGTTTGCAGGAGCAGAAAGCGTCCGTGCCGTTGGTGACACAGTGGGCCTCGTCTCCATCTCCACACTGAGTTCTGTTACTCCTGCAGTCATTCAGTTTGGTGTCTGAACACAAAAAAGTCAAACATTAGTTGGAAGATTTTTTTTAAAACAACTAATACTGCTGATACTTAACATTTCAAACCTCACATCTGTGTTGAGCTGTAATGATACAATATGATCATACTTTAATGGTCAGATCAAGTCTGAAATTTGACTTGCATCACAGCAAGTAACGTCACCATCACTGAGAGAAAACATTTTCACCCTTTCATGTGCATTTGATCTGGGATTCAGCTCTGTATTTACTGTGAGGATTGACTGGTGCACACAGGAGTGCTTCATTCTGACTTTATTCAAATGCGGGACCCTGAATCTCCCATTAGATGGTAGCAGTTCATATTCACTGTTCAGAACATGGTTTGGGTCAGAGATTATGTTGTTGGACAGCCTTATTAGGTTGTTATGATAGGCTGAGTCATAAAGTCTCTGACAGGATTGACCAACAATCTTTGAGCAGATTTTTAACAGGTGGAGCAGTTTTGATTTTAAAGCTGTTGACAAACATTTAACATAGAAATCAGTTTTGACATGAGGTACCTGTCTTGCAGTTGATCTCATCAGAGCCATAGTCCTCACAGTCGTTAAAGATGTTACAGCGCAGAGTGGAGCTGATGCATCTGCCGTTAGCACACAGGAACTCGTCCTTCTCACATGTGGGAACAGCTGGAGTGGTCTCTGTGGACATAAAACCGCACACACACATACAAGTCAACAATCTCCTTGATCAAAGTCGAGGAAGGAAAGGATTTAACAGCAATTTGAACGACTCCTCAACTTACGGCAGTTGAGTTCATCCGAGTTGTCGCCACAGTTGTTGACACCGTCACACCTCTTTGACACTTGCAGACATACACGGTCATTTTGGCAGCGGAAAGCTCTGGTGGGAGGACACTGGAACCTCCCTAAAAGCCGAACGGAGAAAGAGGACAAGAGGGGGAAATAAGAGGATGGAAAATAGGTCAGGTCAAAAGAAGGAGGATAGATATTCAACATTTTGAAGTGTGTGATTTCTCGAGGCTGCACTCACTGCACTCTTCAGGATTCTCGTCAGAGTTGTCCCCACAGTCGTCTTCACCGTCACACTTCCATGCGAGGGGTTTACACAGCGTGTTGTTACACTGGAGCTCATCCAGAGGGCAGTGACGCCCAGCTGAGGAAAACAGGAAGAGCTTTTTGAGTACTTTCATTTCATTTTTATTTGTTCCATTCATGGTATGCACAACTTCAAATCAAATCAAGTTTTATTTATATAGCACATTTTTAAAACGATTTTTGGTCGAGCCATAGTGCTGTACATACAATAAAAATACCTTAATGTATAACAATTATTTACAAAACATGTCTCTATAAACACACCATACCCGAAAAGGAGCAGGGAGAAGAAAATCATCTTATATTACCTGCCCCTTTATCAAAATAAATAAATAAATATAAATAGATGGTCTGTCCTTCATATTTTCTTATTCACAGCCAATCATAACAGTATCGTAGGAAAATAAGAGAAACACAAAAACGTACAAACTACTACTTCAAGCCAGACAAGGTTGAAAAGACAAATATTAGCATAGAACTAACTAATACAATTAAATATAACAGCATATAGAGACACAAACAGACACTTACCACCACTGCCACAATTTTCCTCATCGCTGCCGTCAATGCAGTCGGGGTCGGCGTCACATCGCCAGCGGATGGAGATACAGTGACCGTTTTTACACTGGAACTGGTCGTTGTCACACTTCAGATCACAGCCATTCTGAAGAAGCATCAGTGGCATAAGTAACACACAACACATACCACATACTATTCAACTTTCTATCCAGATGAATACCAGAAATGATATAAAGGACATTGAGTTTCTGCACCTCATCAGATCCATCAGCACAGTCATGGTCTCCGTCACACTTCCACCTCCCAGCAATACAGCGGCCGTTCGTGCAGGCAAACTCGCTTTCTGAACATTGTCGAGGCACTACAGAAGAAGATAGATAAGCAAACAAGGTCAGTGACATGACACAAAGTTTAACACAACTAACAGTTAGCTATGACTGTTCTAGCCTTCAGCACAAAACACAAGACAAACTTTGAAACAACCACAGAGGAAGACAGAAGGAGATGATGTGAGAGAATGAAAGGAGCTCAATGTTGTTTAAATGACTTGATTTATTTGTGGTGTTTACATGTTATTGTAATAGTATTTTTGTTAAAATGTTCCATGTGGATGTGGATTCAATTTTGTACATTTTATTAATTTAGGAAAAGACATTCCTAAGTGTGTATCCAATGCCTTTATTGGACAAAGCACTGGCACAGTTGCATGCAAAGAAAAACAAAGGATGACAAACTATTTCATCCTGGATTTCTATTCTCAAACTCTTGGATAGTACTTCATTGTTATCTTTGCTTGTATTTTAAACTAGCTAAAGTTCCATCAGGGAAGATGATGTCAGAGGATATTGCGGACAAGGATACATTTTAAAGTGTTTTGGTTGATTTGGATATTCAGTTGTATTTATTCGAGCAGTATAATGGTATGTAGTGGCATCTAAAAGGAAATAGAATAGCTAGCTGTTAAGCAAGCTATTGTATCGTTACTAAATGTATCTATCTAGAGCTCAGCTTTCAGACTCTCACAGATGGTGGGGGTCACTGCAGGACAGGAGCGTGAGAGTGGAGACAGCATGGGGCAGCAGACACAGCAGAGAGGTGACATATGAAGGTGGAGTAACTTACCTCTAGCTCATGCCAACAGGACAGTATGAAATGAAACAAATATCAGATGAAGTGAGATGCACCAGAAATGACAGAGAATGGATGTGTGACTTATTATGCAGAGTTAACAGGTTAGTATGCTACTAGTGGACAAGGCATGAGTGTAAGTGACACTGGACCAGGTGAGATAACAGATGCCGACAGTACAGTATGGAGGCATTGTCTCTGAACTGAAGTGACACGTACTGCACTTGTCTTCATCCGAGTTGTCCCCACAGTCGTTGTCGTAGTCACACTGCCAGCGGCCCGGCACACAGCGGTTGTTCTTACATCTGAACTGGTACGGCTCGCATGTCCTTTCAGCTGGGCAAATAACAGAACATGTCAAAAAAGCAACAACAGTGCACCAAAGGCCTCCTTAGTTGCGTCTGTCTAATTTGAAAAGGAGGCGATATTCTTACCACACTCCTCTTTTGGTTCATCTGAAGCATCGCCGCAGTCGTCCTCGCCGTCACATTTCCAGCGAGCAGGGATGCATCGCCCGGAGTCTTTGCATCGGAACTCGTCCACACCACAAGTCATCTGGGCTGGAGAGGGACACATTTGGGGGTGGTTACATTCCAGTGTTAATTTCGTCAACGATAACTATGACGAAAAATATTCGTCAACGACCTTTTTTACATGACTAAGACGAGACGATGACGAGCTAAAAATTGATTTTTGATAATAAAAACTATGACGAAATTTATATTTTGTTTTCGTTGACGAGACGAGACGGGACTAAGGTGTTAGTGGTGGACTATCAGACATTCAAAATGCAGGATATTTTCCCCCAATTGTCCGTCTTGTCTGTCAAAATGCATCCCTGTCATTGGTTGAATTAGTTGGGATTCTGGGAATCTGCACATGTCACTCTTATTACACAAGTAAAGTGTTAAGAGAGTGAAATGTTGCTTTACGAATTTCAACACTTGATACTGTCACCTTGATTCTAATTTCAGATACCTGTATTTGCCTAATTAAATTAGTTTAAAGAGAGAAAACATTTGGACTAAAAGTTGACTAAAATTAGATTTTTCATCAACTAAAACTGGACTAAATCATTTTGAGTTGTCGTCGACTAAAACTAGACTAAAACTATGAAGGATAAAAAGGATAAAATGTGACTAAAACTAATAACTTTTTCGTCTAAATACTACGACTGAATCTAAAATAGCTGCCAAAATGAACACTGTTACATTCAATAGTTGATTTAGATGACTCGTACTAAACAAACATTCCTAAAAAAATATGAGACTTACTGCAGTTGGCGGGCTCATCAGATCCGTCCACACAATCATTGTCGCGGTCGCACACCCAGACACGAGGAATGCAGCGCTTGGTGATGGCACACTGGAACTGGGTGGGAGCGCAGGTGACCTCGGCTGTGGGAGGGATTTACAGATTTAGAGTTACTTTGTGAAATATATCATAAAATGATATAGCATTTCAGGTCCGGATCTCTATCCTAAATTATGTAAATGAAAAAAGCTTTGACTTACGGCAGTCTTTCTCATCCTCTCCTTCTCCACAGTTGTCCTGACCGTTACAGCGGAAAATGCCTGGAATGCAGCGGCTTGGATGGGAACACTTGAACTGGCTGGGCAGGCAAACGTGAATATCTGCAGAGCAGTTACACAGGGAGACAAACAGAGAAACAAGAAAGAGATTTGATAAATAAAGTACATGTTGCCCTGTCGTTTTATAGTTGTAGACTACTATCATCATCTTCTAATTGTGTAAGATCATTATTAGGGGGTAAATAACCTTAGTAATTGTTTAAAATTATTATTATTAATCAATTTATTGAATATTGTCAGAAACATTTTTTATTTTTTTATAATAATAATAATAATAATAATAATAATAATAATAATAGGTATAACAAAGAGATGCAAAACAAAACAAAATTAAAATAAATACATTCTCAAACAGTCTCTGTCATGTTCAACAGGGGCAAGAAGCTGCTTAAAAAAAATGTTTCTGGTCGGGATATCTCGTCGGGATATCTCGGGATATCTCGTTCTCGTGCGCACGAGATACTAACCCGTTATCCCGACTTTTTTTTTCTCCCTTTTTTACATTTTTTTGTTTTCATGTCCCTTTATGGACATGTCCGTATGTTCGTCATGTTGTAAACAAATGTTTTTTTTTTCAAGCAAAAAAGAAATCACTTTTACAATGACAAGAAATAACAAATATGAGTTCACAGGTCCTGCTCATAACCATTAATGATTTGGTTTCTAAATAATAGTTTTAGTTTAGATAGACTTGTACAATATTTCAGCTCATCATTATTGTTATTCCACAGGTCAACACCTTTTAACAATATAATAATCAGAGAGACATACCGCAGTTGGCCTCATCCGAGCTGTCCTGGCAGTCGTTGTCTCCATCGCAGATGTAGGCAGGGTTGGTGCAGATGCCGGTGCCACACTGAAACTGCCCCGGCCTGCATTTGAACTCCGCTGTTGTGAAAAAAATAAGTCAAAGTGTGTCAGGATCATGCTAGAGGTATACCACAATATTATTAACACTCAATTCACACACCCTCCTGATTATTTTTCTCAAACACTTACGGCAGTCTGCTGGCTCATCCGACCGATCACCGCAATCGTCCTCCGTGTCACATTTCCACCAGAAAGGAATGCACTTGTCATTCTTGCACACGAACTAAAGCAGGAAGAGGAACAACAATCAAAGAGATGATAGGGCATAACAGCAGGAGCTACTGTAGCTACTGAAGAGAGCTGGGCAGCCAGCCAGCTGTCAATACACATTCATCAGGCATAAGGAGTTCCTCAAACAAGCCATAGAGACATGGAGATATGAAAATCCACTATCAACTGTTTCCATTCAGAGATATTCGCATTGATGATGTTTACTCAGCTTCCTCACCTGGCTGGCGGTGCAGTTGGACATGCATGCGCGCTGATCACTGGCCAGGTAGAAGTTGGTGGGACAGGCACACTTGTACCCTCCTCCAGGAGAGAGGAGGCAGAGGTTACTGCAGCCGCCATTGTTCGTCTGGCAAGGGTGGTTTAAAACTAAGGAGATGGAAAGGGGGGAAATGGTTTAACCTCGGATTGCATAGATATATTTTCAGACTGAGGTTATATAATATCTGGATTAAAGAAGGGAAAATATGTGTTTGAGAGTGGATTCGTTATACTAATCTGCCCATACAAAAATATACTTAACACAATTTAAAGCTTTTTCAAAGGTTAATTCTTGGACTGGTTGTTTAGTTGGTAAACATTATTCTGTATTAAAAACTGAGCCACTAAAATATGTTTTTAACTTTTTGGGGAGTTTGTAAAAATTTTAAAATATGATAAATTGGAAGTAGTTGGAAAAGTAGTTAATATATGTATCCAATTGGATACCACATGAACTTTTTTCTTGACAGTTTACACTTTTTTTGTGCCTCCACTTAATCCAAATAAAATGTGTTAAGAAGAAAGTACTGCTCTAATATTTTTAAACATTGCTAACACCTATGCTTTTGTGCTTTAACAAATAGTGTTATTTCACAACAATACTCTAAAAATCACATACCGACTCTACACTAGCTGGCGCACAACAATGTGTTATTATGTGTTTTAGGACTGACATACTACATGATATATTTTGTAATATTCCCATAACTTTATTTATTTAGTGCTACATGTTTTATACTACAGTGCGTGTCTTACCCTCAGGCTGGCGGTACGGATGGTAGATGTGGATGTCCATGGGCCGGTGCAGGGTGCTGATCAGGGTGGTCTTGTTGGTACCCAGAGACTTATGAGCTCTGTTGATGGACTTTGTCTCCCAGTCGGTCCAATAGATGTGCTCCTCAAACAGAGTCATGGCAAAGATGTGGGGGATGTCTTGGCTGAGGACTGCAAAGGAACAGACAACAATGGAATCACATGGTTCATGATTTGTTAGGTACAGTAAATATGTTATGAGAAGGTTACCCACTGGTATTTAACTTATCAGAGCAGTTTTGTTAACACAAAGGTCTCCTGATTTGCTTAGATTTATATAATGTGCTTCAATAACAGGCACAGATAGACATCCTTTCTATGCTCTCCCTAACAAGGAACTTAAGAAGTTGAGACGTGTGCATCCAGCTCACAGTATAAGCGTCTAATCAAATACATATGAAAAACCCCCCAGTTTTCTTTTAGTAATAAATGTGTTGAATTTCCATAATAAAAATAACAGACAATTACATAATTCTGTGATTTTAGCAATCAAGCTTTTTCCCAAGAGTAACTGTTGAAACATTCATGCACTGCTAATGTAAAACAGAGGCAGGGTGAGATGCACAGCTAAAGCGGCTCCACTGTTTGTTATGTAATAGTTTCTACTATATGCCTCATTAGGCTTACACTCTGATTGCACATTTCACCTTTTCAACTCCCCTAGCCTTTTCATTTCATGTGTTTGCTCTCAGTGTTTGAGGCTGTCGCGTTATGGAAACACACATTAGTTTCTGTTGTTAAACGCAGCAATCTGTGTACATCACACGCTTGGATAGGCACACGCAATACGACACACATAGCACACACATGGTACATGTTGGAAACAACTGGTGATGAGGTGACTATGGTTTTATTTTGATTATACAAAGTGGGGTGCTTAATTCAATGAAATTGTTAACATGTGATCAGAACTGTTATTTGTCAGATTAACATGAGGCTCCCTTTGGTCAACCCTTATCGGAATTCAAACAGCCCTGTCTCGTTCTGCAAACTCACACAAGGCCACATTGGTGTTTGTATGGTGTGTGTATGTTTGTGTATGCGTGTGTGTGTATCAAAGGATGGGTGAATAACTCCCTGGACAAACTACTGGTGGGCTTACACTGCAAGCTATTACAGGAGATGTTTTATTATGAATTGTGATTTTCTGAATAGTATTTTTCCATCCACAATGCTTCCATTAGTGCAGTTTTCCTGCTAGAAAATTGTGTTAAATGAAATATTCAGAAGCTGAAATTAAACAATACAGACGCCCAGCAGCGCTCCAGAATTATTCTGCACGCCTGGGTTGCTGACAATATCAACTATTGTAGTAATTGTGCTAAACAACAGAGCGCTGTGCAGACGTCATACATGTTGGAGGCCTCACTGGTCAGAACAAAAAAGGCTTCTGTCCGCTGCGCCTGTGCTGCAGGACTTTAGCCTGGCGGGCAACAATCTGACCTGCCTGCTTATGCTCGGTGGCTGCCAAACAAGTAGGACAATCCCATTAGCCTGTCCCACTATAAAATGTGGACAACAAAACATCAGTTTTCTATATATTCAGTTTCAGCACTAGTGTGGCAATGTCATTCGTAGTTTCACTTCTTAACTAGATAAGACATCAGCTTTACTTGATAGACTTAATCAATAAATGCTTAATAATTCAAGTTGAAGATGCAACAATCTAGCAATCAACTGTTTCCTATCTCAGGAACTAAAGCGCAAAACGAGTAGGAACTATTGGCCCCTTATCACAGTCTCAACAAGGGTTATGGTGATTGTTAGGAGTCGAATTCAAACCCCAAGATTTGCTGTTGTTTTGGAATTAGCTCTGTCTTTGTTTCTGTGCCATTTGTAAATTGGTATTTTACCTGTGTGTCTGTTAGTGCCGTCCAGGCTGGCAAACTCAATGTAGTCCTCCCTGGCATCGGCCCAGTATATACGGTCATTGATGAAGTCCAGGGTGAGCCCATTGGGCCACGTGATCTTATCCTCTACGATGACGCTTCTGTTGGTGCCGTCCATCCCGATTCGTCCAATGTGAGGGTTATCTCCCCAGTCCGACCAATACAGGTACCTAAGCAGCGGGGATTAAGCAGGTGATGCAGTTAGGATAAATTATTTACGATTCACTTTACTCTATGTGTTACACATAATCAGATACGACTGTTTTGATAGCATGTAAATGGAATTCAAGCTGTGTTCCTCACCCATAGCGAACATCCACAGCCACAGCGCGAGGTTCCTTCAGGCCAATGTTGACCAACACAGTCCGGTAGGCGCCATTGAGTTTCGAAACCTCAATAGTGTCCCGGCCTTTGTCACACCAGTACAGGTTCCCGCCAACCCAATCCACTGCCAAGCCATCCGGGTTACTCAGAGAGGTCCGGTGCAACACCTGCCACAATAGTAGGACACAGGAATGATTAGACAAAAATAAAGATTTAAGTCACATAGCTATCATTAAAAGTGGTATATACTGTGGATAACATGTTGGCTGGCTTAAAGGAGAGACTCCTCCTAGACTCCTCACTGACCTCTATGTTGCTGCCATTCATAAGCATGCGTCGAATCATGCTGCCCTGAGTGGTGACATCTGTCCAGTAGATCATATTCTCTGCATAGTGGAAGTCCAGTGCCACTGCATTATTCAGACCCTGAAACAGAGGTTGGAACAATATAAAAAAAATGTATGGTGTGCGAACAATAACAATATCACCTTGTTCTGTTTCAGTAAGTCAAACTGAGAGCCAGTGAGTCTCACCTGTTTTATAAGAGTGTAGTTGGACCCATCCAGATTGAGTTTTCTCAGGTAGTAGCGGTTAGCAAAGATCAAGTAGGGCTCTTCCTCTACACGTATAAACCAGACAGGAAAGATTGGTTAGGAATGAATGGGATATAAGCAACCAGCCAATTGCCAAACACACACCAGCATGGCTTACCCGATGTGGACTTGCAGATGGTGGGGTCATTGGGGCTGAGTTCAAAGCCATCTACGCAGAGACAGTGGAAGCTGCCGTGTGTGTTGATGCAGCGCTGGGAACAGGGGTAGGTGGTTGTGCATTCGTCTATGTCCACACACGACTTGCCGTCCCGCTTAAGCTGGAAACCAGCATGACACCTGCACTGGAGGGGCCAAGAGCACAGGAACAATGTCAGTTCTCACTTCTCACCTTTAGTCTGGACCAATGAAAAGGGTCTGCCACTGCCTGTCATAAGAAATCTGTCAGTCAACCTGATACATGTGTTGTTCTTCGCCAATGTAGAGTGGAACTTATATTTCTGCCAATTATCCTGACACTGTCATGACATTTCAGTTGTAAGGTAAGCTGCACAAAAGTAAGAAAACATGACTAAAAAATAACCTGGCACCTAATGTGTCAAATAAGTGGCATGAGCATCATCTAAAAGAAAGCACGGCAAAAGAGCTCTTCATTACTCGTCAAATCTGCTTAAGCTTTCACTTGTCATAAACATCTGTGTTTTATAAAGCGGTCATAAACTTTTAGGGCTTAAAAGTCTTATCATTTTGAGATAAAGCTGGCCAAAAGCCTCACCACCACAGACATGAGAGTTCACACAGAGTTCGAGCTGTTCAAAGACTGGCCTCCTACCTTCAAGGAAGAGAGCCAAAACATGTTTTTGTCTTACATAACCGCATGCCTGAAGTGAGTGGTTCCCGAGCTTTTTACTTCAGGTTCTCACCATTAATAGCCCCTAATTTGTCTGCGTGCTTATTAGACCCATATTTCTTGCACAATTAAAGTCATTGAGTTCAAAAAGTAATTCGATTTGATTTAATTCTCTTGAAAAATTGGGGTCAAAAAAGGCATTAAAACCGCCAATTAGACGGCTTACCTTATAGCCAATCTTGAGGTCATCACAGAGCTGCGAGCAGCCACTGAGCTTGCTGTTGAGACACTCGTTGATGAAGCAGTTGAGCTCATCAGAGCCGTCTCCGCAGTCATCGTTGCGATCACACAGCAGAGTCTCATTCAAACACTTCCCATTGCGGCACATGAAGGCTGACTCATTACACGTCCTCTCTGAAATCATAGACAAATGGCATGTTGCATTAGTGTCACTTCGAAACAGGATGCAGCTATGGCCTTTCTAAACAAGAATATAATCCCCTTAATCCCAACCTGAGTCAGTGCAGCGTGGGTTCTTGGGAGCTTCATCAGAGCCGTCCTGACAGTCAAACTCTCCGTCACACTCCCATTTCTTCTGGTTGAGGCAGCGGCCGTTGGCACAGCGGAACTCTTCTGGACCACATGTTGGGTATTCTACACCGGAGGAAGAGTATGTTCATCAGGTATGTTCAAAAGCAATCACAAATATCTCACAACCCTTAATTGTCCAGCTTTCTGCTCAGTCTTCCTGCATATCTCTACAGCAGGGGTGTCAAACTCAAGGCCCGGGGGCCAAATCCGGCCCGTGACTTGATTTTCTGTGGCCCCACAAGAGGTTGCAACGAATAATATATGTTTATTATACGGTTACATGATGATTTACAGAAGCACGATGCCCATAAACTACATGTCCCACAATGCATCTCAAATTAGACTTTCTTCTCAGAATTTGACTTTTTTTCTTCTAAATATGCCTTTTTTCTTAGAATGTGCCCTTTTCTCAGAATTTGATCAGTGTTTCCCACAGAATTTGATTCTATTTGTGGGGGCACCGCACCGCATGTCACTTCCTTTTTTTTTTTTTAAATGTCACTTCCTTTTTTGATTTTGACTTTTTTTTCCAGAATTTGGCTTTTCTTTTTAAATCATTTTGTGACATTATCACTGAAGAGACTTGCAATTATTTGCCCCAGACTTCTGCTTTCAGACGTAGTTAATTATGAAGTTATTACCCTATCTGATAATAATTAAATGCAGAGGCAATAATGTAATATAATACATTATTTTATATATGTATTTTTATATAGTCTTAAAGTTACAACTGGCCCTTTGAGTGCAGCCATAATGCTGATGTGGCCCGCGATTAAATTGAGTTTGACACCCCTGCTCTACAGGATCACAACCACTCACCACACTCTGGGGATTCATCAGAGCCATCGGAGCAGTCAATGTCGTGATCACACACAAAGTGCTTGGGGATACACTCTCTGTCCTGGCACATGAACTCGTTATCATCACACGTGCTGTTGGTGTACACTGGAAGGGAAAAGAACACACTTTGGTGAACTGAGATGGAACTTGGTTGGTAGGGTTTGGTTATTTTTCCACTTACAACATTTTCTAAGGTTATTTTGTAATTGTTCCACTCACTGCAGCCAGCCTTGACACTCTCATCAGCTCCATCAAGACAGTCTTTGTCTCCATCACACTTCCAGCGCTGAGGCACACACATGTGGGAGCCGGGACACTGGAAGGCTTCAGGACTGCAAGTCTTGGATTCTGTGACGTCATTACGGGAAAGTTACATGATGATTTAATGTCAGGAAATCATACGCACACAGTCAAATAGCTTCACTGGGTGTGGAAGAAAGTAGTTTGCAAGTGCAAGTAATACGCCACTTACTGCATTTCTGGTCCTCATCTGAACCATCACCACAGTCATCGGCGCCGTCACACACCCAGTGGCTGGAAATGCAGCGGTGGTTCCCACATTCAAACTGGGTGGATGTACAAAACTTGTCTGTAACGAAGAAAAAGGAGAGCTTAGCATTTAGGAGACAGCTAAGTATTTAATTTAGCCTGACAGAAGGTTTTTCCATATGTGAAACCTGAAGGAAAAAAGCCTGTTTTTCTTTTGGTAACACAAGGAAAACTTGTATACTGACCACAGTGCGTCTCATCAGCTCCGTTCTCACAGTCATTCTCTTTATCACAGGTCCAGCTCATAGGAATGCAGCGACCACTGGGACACGCAAAGAAGTTGACTGGACATTTGAGTTTCTTTTTATCTGAAAAACAAAAAGGAAAACGTATTGTAGAATCTTTGACGAATTAAGAAAAGCATTAAGCATTTTAGAGGTTTGACAAAACACCAGACCTGGACAGTTTCTCTCGTCTGAAAAGTCTCCACAGTCGTTGTTGCCGTCACAGACCCATGAGGACAGATAACACAGAGTGGTTTTATCACAGCTCTGGAAAGACTCTCCTTTCACTCCCAGGCGGAAGAAACGGGCGCAATCAGTTTGGTCTGTGAATATTGGAAAAGCTTTTAAAAACCTCGAAAACAATCTCGACAAATCCATTCATATTATTTTCATCAGCTTTCCCCATTTGATTAAATCATGATGGTAGATTACTTACGGCAGTTAATTTCATCACTAGCATCCTCACAGTTGACCACCTGGTCACAACGACTGAAGTTGGAGATACAGCTTCCATCTTTGCACTGGAACTCTCCTACTTTGCACAGGGTCACTGTGGGAGGAACACAGGGTTATCACAAATGGGAAACAACGGTGCCAAAAGCTTTCATCTATCAAAAGATAAAAGGTTTTTTTCCGATCAGTTGCAGCTAGTGAAAAAGTGACTTACTGTTGCAGGGTAGTTCATCCGAGTGGTCACCACAGTCGTCTGTGCCGTCACACCAGAACTGGTGGCCTATGCAGCGGCCATTAATGCAGCGTCTGTAGCCTTTCTTACAGAGTCGATTGGCTGTGGATGAACAACAGTTGATTAGAGCCTGAAGAGCCCTTTTTTGCATATTCTAAAAACGGCCTTATCCACCAATTCATTATTATATAAATGAAACAGACTACATATTCTGTATCAAACACTAAATGTCTCTTCACCCCTCCGCTTAGCTAAAGATTCACACTTGTTTCCTTGGCTATTCTAAAGTAACATTTTATCTCTTGCTCTCCCACACCCTAATGATCTAATTACAATTAATTGTATCGTTAAACTCATTCTCAATTGCTTTTATTACAACCATCAGCTAATTATCTGCAATTGATACATTTAAACGATGACTTGTTACAGCTCATTGCTTACTAAGTAATAGCCTAATAAGAATCCTCACCACAGTAGGACTGCTTCTCATCAGACTTGTCCTTGCAGTGAGCCATGCCATCGCAGGTCAGGCTGTAGTTGATGCAGTCGCCGTTTCCACACTCAAAGTCATCCACACTTCCACACGACACGTTCAGAGCTGGTGAGGTAGGAACATTTTTATTTCAGCAACTCTCAACCTTTTAATCAAAAGGAAAATGTAATTGTTAAATGTCTTAAGACTTTCTCTTACCAGAGCAGGTGTTGTCATCCAGGAGTGTTCTGTCTCCACGGCAACTACAGTTGACCCGTCCATCAGATGTGGGAAGACATAGATCTTGGCAACCTCCGTTATTTGATCGGCAAGGGGAAAACTCACCTAGGGAAGAATGACACAGGAGGATTAGGAGGTAATAATGTAATGCGTTATATCCTTTTGAAGTTATTTTCCATATGTTAAGTCTGTGGAAGTAGGCTTCACAAGACCAAGAAATCACAGCTAACACCAGCAAGGCAACAAGGTCACATTCACAATGCTAACATGCTGGGTTTTAGCAGGTTAACCCTCCTCCCCATCTTACTTTATCTTGTTAGAATGCTAACATTTGCTAATTAGCAATAAAGACAAGTACAGCTGAAGCTAGTGGGAATGGACACTTTTTTGCAGGTATTTGTACCTTAAAGGTGGGGTAGGTAATTTTGGAGAAACCGGCTCGAGTGCGCTAGAATTTGAAAATACACAGCCGGAAAAAATCTGCGACTTCCTTACAGAGCCCCTCCTCCAACACACACGAACGCGCACATGACCAATGAGGGCACGAGATAAGTTTGTGCACAGAAGGAAGGCTGACAGGCAGGTAGGCCATCCAGTTATTTTAGCCGGGCCGGCTAAAATGATTGGTCGTGCTTTTTACAGTATTACGGCTTCCACAGATGACATTTTTTTATGGATTTTTTGTCAAAGCACTTTAGATATTCAAGTTTGTCAAATACAATTTTGAAGATTTTCCGGATATCACCAAAGTGATTACATTTCATCCTGAGCTGGATATCTGTGCCAGAATATCAAAAACACTCACACCTCACACTGAATTGGTGAAAAAACAGACTGTCATGGACATTCCTAAATCCCTGCTACAATCATGAATTAAAATCACTGACTTTGGAAACACTGCAAAACAAGCCTTTAACATTGTTATTATGAATTATTTGCCAAGGGGAGGAGAAACCTACACAAACCTTATGGTGACTTCAGTGAACAATACTTACAGCTGTTGGAGTCATTAGCCACAGCAACGATCCCCATTGGCTGCTGAGGGATGTCAGCACGCAGCAGTTTCATGTCTCCTCCTGTGTATTTGTCAGCTCTGAGGACGGCCCTCCTCACCCAGTCAGTCCAGAAGATGTAGTCTCCATACACAGCCAAGCCAAATGGATGAACAGGCTCATTCTTCAACAAGACCTGAAGCAGAACGATGTAGGCATCATTTCACAGAACACTGAAATGCAAGTCAACCCCCTCGATTTGGTCAAAGGAAAAAAATAAAGGGCTGTCTTACGTAACGGCTGCTTCCATCATATTCGCAGCGTTCAATCTTGTCCAGTGTGGCGTCAGAGAAGTAAAGTTTCTCAGCACGGTGATCTATGGCCAGGCCATTGGGAGTTTTAATGTCGGAGCCGATGATGGCTAGCACATTGGCGCCATTCAGAGAGGCCCTCATGATGCTTGGAGCCTGCTCATTCCAGTTGGTCCAGAACATGAGACTGTAGTGGGAGCAAAAACAGGATAAGAATAATGATGTGCAGTGGGAGCTCCAAAAATGACTTGGTATAAACGTTATGTTTGACTGAACTCAAATAAATCCACTGTTCAAAAGAAAGAGAAAAAACAGGATTGGAGCTGGGCCCTGACACAGTGCAGAGCCCCAAGTTTCAATATTAATGACTCACTCCTGACACTCGTCCAGCACAAAGGCTCTGGGGTGGTCTTCTCCAGACATGGTGACCACAGTGTTGCGGTTATAGGCCACAGAGCGGCTCTGGTCCACAGTGTGGCGAGTGATGGTGGAGGTTGTGTAACTGGTCCAGTAAAGAGTATCCCAACCACGGTGGTACGCCAGGCCCTCGACTGACCCTACATCTGTGGAGCAGAGAAGGAAGAAATTGGCCCTGTGTTAATATTATACACCCATGACAATAATCTTTAAGACAATAGTCCTTTTGTCGTCTTCCAGCCTAAGCTGTAAAAAGCAAAACGCTTGAGAAGCCGTTTTATTTCAGTATAACAAATATATCGACTCCCAGGGGTGTATGTGGGAGATTTAATGAGGGCAAGAACTCAACAAATCATCGTCATAGTTTAACAAGTTGCCTTATGGTTAACTCTGTGAGACGTTTTCAAAGAGGCAGTAGTTAATGCTTTTATGTTTATCCTTATCTTCCTGCATTAGTTCATGCATGGTGAAACAGTGTGAGGAAGGACAAGGCTAAAAGGAAAGTTAAAAAGACAGCGTGAAATGGAAGTGGTACCACACAGAGCAGAGTATACGCCATGCCGGCTGTTCCTGGATGGAGTTAAGGCGTATGCATCAACCTGTCATTTAATGGCTGACTGCCTTCACATACTGCTCCCTGTGGACTCTCCTGTGTGGTTACTTCTTCTGACACTGCAACAGCTTCCGTGACTTTAGGGACATAGGCCAGGGTTAAGACGACAATAGTTAAAGGACACAAATAAAGTGGTTGCTCTCAATTTCTATCGTCCTTTCGTCCTGCAACCTCCAAAATCTTTACAGTACATACAGTTGTAGTAACAATATGAACTATGACAGACAACATCATGGAAAAGGACACTTTAGTGTAGCCTTACAGGTTCCAATGTGTGTATCCATCTGTTCCTGGTCACACTAGCAACCACATTTATGACCACTTACACCCAACAATAAAAACCTAAAGGCTCCACACAACTGTTTGCCCTTGGCTGAAAGTCAATAATTGCCCTTTAATAGGTGTTTCAAATGAATGAAGAAGTGCCATAATCAAAGTTAATGCAGGACAATTTTAAGGCTCAATACCTTGTTAATCAACGAAATGAGACTAAGAGACCGGTTAACGATTGCCTACGGAGTCAGGCAAACAAAGACAACCTTGTTTATTCCATCTTCAACAATCAGAAAAAGGTGTACTTGGGCAGCTAATTGCTTCGGTTAGGAGAAGATGACATACTAAACAGGGATTAATAAAGTAGGCTTGAGGCAGTATTATGTAATGAGAAACAGCAATGTCTCTCCTCCCCTTGCCTGGATCAGCTCATCCCCTTGTTACTGTGCAAACAGTGGGAAAACCTGACGGAAAGACATTTTCCACTGAGGACAGAGCCTCTCTTACGATCACAGCAGTAGTGTAGTACACCAAGGGAGACTTGAGAATAGCTTATCTTCTGTTACAGTTTATTTTACGCTTTTCTTGCTTCAACGATCGAAGGTCATGTGAATCGTACAGTATCTCTTCTGCTTGTGACAAGGTTTCAAGTCTCTGGAGAGCTTCTAAATGGACAAGATGCCTCCTGCCGAGGCGACCACTTAGCATCAAGTAGCATTGACTGCTTTTTAAGTGGAATTTCTGTTAGCAACCACTGGGATGAATCTGTGAACTGTTGCCTGGTTTCAAGAAATCAATACAGCCATAAAGTAAGTGCTGCAATGACATCGTTCCAGTTTTCATTTCCTATTTCTTGGATTATTAAGGACATGCTGATGCAGCCAAGGAAAAGCCAGTGTGCGAGGACTGCACTTTAAGGTCATGTTTGCTTTCTACTCCAACTGGAAAACAGCAGAGACTTTTAACGGGAGTTTTAGACATTTCACTTTTTTTCGGAACCGAGTGTCATCTTTATGTAGATATCATTTCTTCTAACATCTGGAAAAAACAGTGAAGGTGACACAGTGGAAGAGGCACATTTTTAGAGGGATTCAACTAGACAGGAGGAGGAGGATGTGTGGCTCGCGGGGGAGCGACTTCACCACTTGACTATCTCTGGCAACGTAAAAATTAATTCTACGAAATGTTTGTTTTTACTTAGATTATAAATGTCAATGACCAGCACAATCGTAACCGCTTAGCTAATTGCTATTATTATGAGGGTATTAGCTGCCTAAATGGAGAGTGTTCATACCTGTGATGAATTTAATTTAAGACATGCACTGCAGCCAAGTGCTCTGATGCTAAACATTAACAGGCCAATAGATGAATTACTCAATGAACTTTAATTCTGAATAAATGGAGCTTTTAGAACAGAACGCAAACAGTAGCAGCTTTGCTCAAATGCAAAGGGCAAATGAGTCTTTGATGAAGACCGTTGTGCCCATCCTGGATGGACTGATTCTGGTGACAGGCCTGGTGGGTCAAACCCTGGTCATTACCATTCTTAATGGCAGGAGGAGGAAGAAAAGTCAACCCCCCCATGGTACGGACACCCTGCTGCTGGCTCTGAGTGCTGCCGACCTGCTGCTGCTGCTCTGCCTGCCCTTCCACACCTCCGCCATCACCCTGGGCTTCTGGCCTTTCGGCAGCTTCATGTGCAAGGCCATCAGCTTCCTGGGTGTGGCCTGCTCGTCTGCTTCAGTCTTTACCCTGGCAGCTTTGGCTGTGACACGTTACCTCACAGTGGTACACCCCACCTGGACGTACCGATCGAGAATGCACCGACACATTAAGCTGACTGTAGCTCTGCTCTGGGTCCCTGCCTCCGCCTTGGCAGCGCCGCAGTTTGCCTTCCGCACAGTGACCGTCTCTAGCGCAGTATACTGCTTTGCCTTCCTGTCTGACTTCAGCCAGCTGGTCTATAGCATCGCCCTCTTCCTGTTCAGCTTCGCTCTTCCACTGGGCATCATTGTACTGATGTATGCCAAGATCTACTGTTTTCTTCGACATGCACGGCTGCTGGGGAACGCTCCCCAGCTGGAGCGCTACCAGAGCCAGGTCACACTCACCTCAGCCCTCCTGGTCCTGGTCTTCACTCTCCTCTGGCTGCCCTCCTACGGCCTCATGTTCTCCTTCATTGGAGGAAGCATAATGCTCACACCTGGCTACAAAACTTTTGCCATCCTGGCTAGACTGTTGGCATCGTCGGTAGCAGTGGTAAACCCTATACTGTATGGGTTTATGTCTCAGAAGTTTAGACGAGACTTATTAGAGCTGGGGAGAGAACGCTGGGCAACGTGCAGAAGCTGTCTGATTGGTTGCCCTGATGTTATGGGCAGGGACATGGTACAGCGCTTTGAGCTGGACACAACCTCAGAGATCGGCCAAAACTGACTTTTTGGACCGAAAGAAAACACTGCTACCTCATTTTCTCACTTAATGCTTGACTTTTTTTCATATATTAATATGTTGCTGTATGGAAATGTATAAAATGTTACATATCCAGTAGTCAAAGTGATGCTATGACTCATTTCATTGCAATATATTAAAATAGGTTCAAAGTTGTTATGTGTTATTGCCTTATCTAGGAATAATACACTCCTCTAACCCCAGCTGTATTCAATTCCTGACCTGGAAAATGTTCTCTAGTAGGTAGATAAAAAAGAATGTGGAAAAACTATTCATCATTTTCAAAATATGTTCAAAACAACATCAATAAACAAACGAACCCCATGCTCTGTACTGGTTTCCTTTCCTTTCACATTCTGAATTCATTTTAGCATACTGCTTACTGAGAACAGCTTAGGGTCCTGGGCTTTTAAATGTAGTGCTTCTGGATGTAGTTCTACAACCTACTCTTTAATCATTTAAAAAGAGATGGGAATTTAAAAGACACTTTAGTGTAGAAACAAGGAAAAACACAGTAAGTTTGTGGTTGTGTCTGAAAGTGTTTCTTCTTCAAGTGGCAGCCCTTAGTGATGTCAATCTCCTTTAGTTGAGAAGCTGCAGCTGTGTGTACACACAGTGAATCCTTGTGGGTGCTTGTGTTGTCAAAATGTGTGATGATGGCTGTTTGAAGTGTTGAGGAGACGAGACATAGCATTAAATTATTAATGGACAGAATACAAAAAAGGCAACCCAGCTGAAGTATATGTAGTCAGACAGAGTGGAGGGAAATGTTTCTGTGATGTGAGGTGGAGAGTTTTGTAGATTTCATGAAGTGTTGAAAAGAATGACATGTGGTTAATGACTCCATACTTACTGTCCACAACAATCTTGCGGTCTGTGCCATCATCGTTGATCTGCTGGATGTTGCCAAAGTGGATGTCGCTGAAGAAAATGCGGTTAGCTCCCTTCCCTCCACCGCCATGATAGTCATAGCTGAGGGCAATGACGTTCTTCATGTGGTCAGGGTCCTCAAACGGCTTTATTGGTGCGTTGAGGTTCGTTTCATCTGAGAGGTGGATGCTCTTCAGAATGGTACGCTCCGAGTAAAGCAGGTATCCGTCATAGTCACGGCAACCACGGTTGTCCTCTGCCAGCATGCCGTGAGCACAGGCGCAGGTGCGCTGCCCGTTGCCACGGAAAAGACACAGCTGTTCACAGCCGCCGTTATCTTTGCAGACGTTGGTGCCTGGGGTAGGTGTAACACATTTACGAGGTATATTGTTAAACAAATAATGCACCTTGTTAAACACATTTTCAATTTCATTGAGTCCTGAGGGGTGTGGATTTACGTTGGGTGGTAAAAGATTTGATGGTTGGGAGTATGATAGGGCCTGCTTATGTGAGAACAAACGTAGGGCAGCTCACTATTTTGGTGAGGACATTTTTAACAGACTTCATTGCAAAAAAGTGGGTTTGTGGGTAACTTGGGATGAGAATGGGGGTTTTCTGTGTTGCTACCTTGCTGCCTGGCCCTGTTGAAAACCTTGATGTCTTTCAGCTGTACACCAATGCCAGTCCTGAGCTGCACAGCATCCGTAGCGTTGTCTTTGCTGCCTCTCTTGATGGAGCCGTTAGCATGAGTCCTGAACAAAAGATTAACAGCACAATACAAAATAAAATCTTCCACATGACTCAAAAGCTGTCATGCATGACTGGATAATAGAGCAATAGAAAAAGATGGTTCAATGGTTGGTTCAACAAAACAATTATCCTCAGAACCGACCTGTCACTCCAATAAATGAATTCCTCAAAAACTGATACAGCAAACATGTCCATGTTGTTGTTGGCAAGCACCAGCTCCCTGTTCTCTCCAGTCTCCAGGTTGATACGCTCAATCTTATCTGTCCTTGCATCGCACCAATACAGCATCCCCCCCTGCAGAGAAAAGCAGAAATAAAAATGTTACTTTTTCAAGGAAGGTAAGGAACTTGCATATTAAATATAGAATACTAGATCATATTAAGTTGTGATTTTAGTAGACCATCATTGGCCTTAATTAGAACTTGTGGCAGCTCTAAATCTAGGTTATAAGTACTTTGTAATAGTATTAAGTCACATATACCAAGCAGAAAGTAATATAAGTAATATGGGGGACTGGTACAATTTACAAAGAATAAACGTAACTATTTTGAGGCTAGATTAAATTGAGTTATTTACAAACATAAATTATATATACAGTATATGAGATCTTAGGTCATATACTGAACCCCTACTATAATATACATCTATAAATGTATGGATCATTCTCATGGCATAAAATAAGAGCTGACGAATGATCCAGTCTTTGGAAAAGTCACAGTATATTTGTTCAAATTAGCAAGGAAGATACCAGCATGATACTATTAATTATGACAAAGAAGTTCTTGGGTGCTATGAAGTCTGCTGTGGTCCACACACCTCGTAGTCGACGGAGATCCCATTGGGCCAACTGATGCTCACATTGACCAGGACCAACCTCTCAGAGCCATCCAACCGGGAGCGCTCAATCCGAGGGTACTGACCCCACTCAGTCCAGAACAGATACCTAAACACAGGGACACAAACAACATTATTTAAAAGTGCATTTTATGGGAATTTAGCTGTATATTTCTTTCAGATTCAGTCTAGATTGTGAGAACCTGAAGGCTATTAAAGAGTATTCAACTGTTGCAGGGAGACTTACCCTTTGACTGGGTGAACAGTGATGGCTCTGGGCTTGTCCAGGCCCTGGGAGATGACGACATAACGGAAGGAGCCATTCAGCCGGGCCACCTCGATCACGTCAAAGCCCTGGTCAGTCCAGTAAATATTCCCTATAGAATAACAGGTATACCAATCAGCTATGTGGTCTTTTGTGTAATATTTACAATTGAACTGAAATAGGATTTCAAATATGTTAGGATCAAACCTGCTATCCAGTCGACGGTGATGCCCTCCACCCTGCCGATGCCGTTGGTGATGACATCTTCTCTCCACGTCTGATCTCTCTTAGCCCTGCTGATGGTGCTCAGGCCCATGTCCACCCAGTAGATGGTGTCATTCTCTGAAAACAAAGAGGTGTTTTGTGTCATCCTATGAATACTCACTTCACGGAGATAATGGCAGCTTTAAAATGTCACTCAATCAAGTTATTGATGTCGCTCAGTGTCACTTACCAGCGTGGAAGTCGATGCCGACGGCCAGAGAGGTGCCAGACACCGGCACCAAGGCGTCAGATTTGTCTGCCGGGTCGAGTGGAATTCCTCGGATTCCCTCGTGAACGGAGTAAAGCAGGAAGGAGCCCATGCCTGCTCAGAGAAGATACAGTATGTTTTAGTTTTTCAGGGCAAACTGTATTGTTACTGAGTGTATGACTGCAGCTGTGGAGCCTTGTCTTACCTTCACAGGACTGCTGTCCAGTCTTCAGGCTGTATCCTGCGGTGCACATGCAGGCCCTGGTGGTTGGTGAGGTGGGTAGACACAGCTGGGAGCAGTCTCCATTGTTGTTGCTGCACAGGTTGATACCCTCTGAAAAGAGAAAAAGGAGAGGATCAGTGATGTCGAAAAAATATTGTTACAGTATCAATGTCTCCAAAGCCTACACTGTAGGCCCTACAGTATAATGCACTATAAACACATGCTGTATCACCATTAACTTACGTACATATTCATAGTGCTTTATACAAATATTCAAGAAACATTATCTTATAAGTCATTAAAAACTGCTTTATAATGTGTTATGATAATTGATATAAAGCATATCAACGATTTTCTTCAAGGGATTTTCCTACCTTTCTGTACGTCCTCATCGTAGATCCTCATGTGCATCATAGGCGAGGTGTTGTTTCGCAAAACCTTCCAGTTCCCTCCGTCCTCCTTGTCACATGTTCCTATCTGGTCAGTTCCCTGGTCGGCCCACCACATCTTGTCTCCTACAGTGAGGGAAGTTGATTTGTGTATTAGGATGTCATCCCTTTAATGTCGGCTAGTGATGTCTTAGCATGTAAGCAGTAAAATGATCTAACTATCAAGTTTTAGACCAGAAACATTGGAAAACAGAGAGGGTAACATTTAAATAAACATATGTTTCATCGTACCCATAATAGCCAGAGCAGTTGCCTTGGTAAGTTTTCCTTTGACACCTTCCAGGATCTCCAGTTTAGTTCCGTCCAGCTGACAGCGGCTGATGGTGCTGTTTCCCGAGCTGATCCAGTACAGCTGCTCTTTTTCATAGTCAATAGAGAGGCCTGAGTGGAAAGAATTACCAATCTATTAAAATATGCTAAATCCTTGCTTTTACCCCTAAATTTAAATAGGGGTTCAGTATCATTTTGCAGACAGTTATCTTTCTCATTGGGGGGTTCATCTACTTACCAACTGGTCCTTTTTGATCAGTGAAAAGTAAAGTGAGGTTGCCGCCATCCATGTTAGCCATGCTTATGTTGTCACCATCAGTCCAGTACAGCTTCCTGAGGAGGGATATAAATGTTTCATTACATGAAGAGGAGCTGAAATTTATTTTCTGAGCAGAGCAATGTTCTATGAAATAATTATCCTGGTAGGAGCCAGCACAGAAGCAACACATGGGGAACAACAAGCAGGCTAAAGAAGAACAAGAAGCCTGGAACAACAGCTGTACCTAGAACATCTTCACCCAAGTATATTGTTATAAAGCACATAGGGAAAAATATGCTCTTGATTATGAAATAGAAAACTGAAAAAGCGTATAATAGTCAGAATTCATATCTCAATCTGAATGCAGGCCTTATTAAGTGAAAGAAAACACTCACCCCAGTAGTGGATGCGCCACAAGACAGTGGGGCTTGTCTAATCCCTGGATGACAGCATTCTTGAAGGATCCATCGAGTCTGGCCACATTGATCTGCTTCTTATTGGCATCATAGCTGGTCCAGAACAGGTTTCTGGACACCCAGTCTACTGCAAGCCCGTGAGCATTAGGAAGGTCTGGGAATTGTCAGAACCACAGTGGAGAAAGTTAGGGTTTCATCAGATTTCTAGAGAGCTACAGAAACTGTAAACTGAAATAAAAGTAACTAAAAATAAGTTAGACTGATATTCATGTCTTTGTGCTCACCAGCAGTCACAACAGTCTCCACGCCTGTGCCGTTAATGAAAGCTCTCTTGATTGTCTGCGTTCGGACATCGGACCAGTAGATGCGATGCTCCACGGCATCAAAGTCCACCACTGTCACGTTGTCTATGTCCGGCACAGTGAAGGAGATGATGTAGTTGTAGTAAGGGTTGTCGATGTCAACACCCCGGATTTCAATTTGACGGGCATATAGAAGGAACTTGCGGGACTCTGAGAAGAAGAAAAAAATAATGTACTGAGAAAAAGAAATCTCACTAATGTTGCATTTTTCTAAGTTATTTCAATTTTTTATACAAATTATACAAATAGAGAAGTGAAAAGGGAAGAAGTCCTTTTTTTTTTAGCTTGCTTTACTTAAGACTTTTTACCACATGCTCAAGTGTTTCCCACCCATTTATAATCATTCAAATACATGGTGATTAAAAGATGAGTTAAGTCCAGGCTTTTTCTCACTGCACTAGCCTGAGCAATCAAAGGGTGAAACAAGCTGGATCCCAGTAGATAAAGCTCAAGAGTGTCAAACTGACCCGTCAGAAACATGTTGCTCTTGCTAAGGCTTCATTACATCTCGAGAGGTGAGAGGGGGGGGGGATAACAAATGACTTCCTCTCAGTCAAAAATGCATGGTGCTCTAATCATTGTAAGTGGTCCGAGTTGAGTTTAGCTGACACTCTGCTCAGCTCCCTGAAAGTTATCGTGTTGAAGGGGAATGCATCAGACACCCTCTAATCCAATTATGCTTAAATCTACACTGCTGAGATGAGGATTGTTCTGTAGAATGCGTAACATTTAGACAGACACTCACGCACACAGATTTCCACAGATACCCCTTGAAACCCCCTCATTAAAATCACACAGCAATAAATTAGGACCTTGTGACAGTATTTTATTTAAAATGAAATGGAGATAAAAGTGAAGAAAGCCACGTGGCACAGACAGAGGAGGAGTAATTAGATATTCTGTGGTAGAAAATGACAGCGTATGCCGTTGATGTCACGTTCGGGAGCTGAGCACACCATACCAGTCATGACAGTTGTGAGAATAGATTCCTGAAAACAAAGAGCCTGTGTCTTGCTACTTGCTGAATTGGATTAAATATGAAAGTGTTGGATGAAGGTTTTAAAAAGAAAAAAATGTAGGTGTTTGTGACTAACTGTCATTACCTTTGCATGTGCGTTTGTCAGGCTGGAGCTTCATGAGGTGAGGGCAGGCACAGGAGAAGGTCTGGTTGAAGTTTATGAGACAGAGGTGGGAGCAAGGGCCTTTACCGTCACTGGTAGCACACGGGTTAGGAGCTGAAAATATAAGAAAATGTAGATGAAATGTTTGAAAAAGAGAGACACAAAAAGACAAAGGGGAGGTATTTCCTTTAAGCCTCACTCTTCAGATTGCAGTGTATATATTTTCAAAACCATCTCCACAAAAAGAATAAAATAAGCATATACAATATAATATTAATCAAAGCTGATAGCTTAATGAGAGAAGATATTTTTCAGAATATCATAGTGTCTAATAGACCTCTCAATCAATCTCACTCAACTAAGCGAGAGCCCAAGAAGACTGTCTGCCAGACCGATCAAGCCAGCTTGTTGCCTCATCACTGTCATGGCCATTGGTTGCAGCTGTCAATCAACAACTCTGAGATCTCTCTTTTCCTGCCTTCCATGAGAAGACCCGAGTGCCTCTCTGCTGGCCACTTTGTATCCCGTAGCCAGTGGCTATTAAAGGTGGCAATCTGACAAAAAACTGCAAATCTTTTTGTCATCTTGTCAATCATGTGTTTCTTCAAGATCAACAAATGACATTTAAGTCGCTGGAGGAAGGTTTTATTTCCCATCCAGCCAGTGGAAAATGCCAAAGAGTGAAGTGACTTTTTGATCAACAAGGCAGCAGGAGGTGTCCAAATTGCTGCTGGTGTGAGGAGACAACACGTCTTGCTGCTCTGAAAGGTCAGCTGTCTTTGGAGAATAGGAGTTGTGAATCAATACAGTCAATAATTAACTGTGATCTTGTTCTCCTTTGATTTAAAGCCAAACTGAGTCAGCTCTCTCACTCTCTCTCCGTGAGTGCGTTTCTCTTTGAACTTTTATGCATATCTATCTAGTGTGCAACCTACCCTGGGGCTGTCTGGAGGGGTGATAGACCTGCAAGTCAAAGGGCTGTGTGTTGGTTCGCTGGACTACAGTGACATTGTGTCCAGTCCATTTGTTGGCTTTGGCCAGAGTGTTAGTCCTCCAGTCGGTCCAGTACACCTCGCCTCCATACATGGTAACAGCAAAGGGGTGGGACAAATACTCATGACCCCGCAACACTTCAATCAGTCCAGAACCGTCGTACTTAGCAGAGTAGATAGCATCTGACCTGGAGGAGGAATTAAGCAGAGACAAAAGTGTTACATGATATGCACCATCCTAAATGTATACATGTTTCTACTATACGAGTCTTTACTTGTGTGTCATTTTACATAAGCAGTGCACATTTGCTTGTTTATTAAAACATTTATAATGACACGCAACAAAGACTAAGCAAGTGGGTGATGTAATAAGTGAGTGGGTGGATGCAGTGCGATGAGAGCACTCTGTATTCAGAGACTGCTGCCAAATGCTACCTGGCATCAATCCAGACAATGCGTCTTTCCATGTAGTCAACAGTGAGTCCGTTGGGCCAGCCACCGCTGCCTGTTTCTCTGTGGATGGTGCGTCTGCCTTCTCCGCTCATAGACGCTGCCTCGATCCTGGGAAGACTGGCATCCCAGTCGGTCCAAAATAGAATACTGCAAACAGAAAATAAATTAATGTGAGGAGGGGTTCTCACAGATGTTAACAGCATCATCACATGAGAACAGGTCAGGTTGATAGTAAGTAGGTATAAGGGATATATCATGAGCTGTAAAGGTATTGGAAGTGTAAGTTTCATTTTCCTAAAGGTTGATTACAGTATCATTATCCTTAGATATATGCTTCTTACCCATCTCGTGGGTCCAGGGCGATGGCCCTTGGATGCTCCACCTCCCCAGCCAGCAGGGTGGTTCTCATGGTCCCATCCAGTTTGGCTACCTCTATCTGGTCCAGGTTGCTCTCCACCCAGTAGATGTTTCCTGCTATCCAGTCCACAGCCAGCCCCTCTGGTGTAGCCAGTCCATACTGGATCACCACCTCAAAACTGGTCAGGGCTGAACACAGAGAAAGGAGACTTAAAGCTAGCAGTGGTGTTTGGTACTTTATCATGCTTTTGACAAATGAAACTCAAGCTGAAAAAGGGAGCTTTTATTATTTTAATGCTCCAATTCATCTTATTTAGTATAGAGGCTTGGCTTATTTCACTTTCAACAAAAAGAGCACATTTCCAGCCCGCAAATGTGGTTCACTGCAATAAAAAATAAAAACCCTGACAAACAATGAATTGTTAAAATGATTTAAACTTATTAAATCTGTCAGTGAAAGGCACGCAGTGCTGCTGTGTCTGATCTGCTCAGCGCCATTACCCAAGCTATAAGAAAACAAACATCTAACACCAGATCTCTCACTCTTTTATTCTTCAGCCAGAAACGGCTCTCATGCAGACTAAGTGCAAACCAAAATGTGCGATCATCTCTGGCTCAGGGCGATGAGACAAGTTTTTCACATGGCCTTCCAGTGGTAATTAGAGGGAGAGGGATCGGCCCTCTTCACAGTTTGCTGGAGTTATGGCTGCCTTGTGTGGGTAGGGGTGTCTTTGTTGAGCTGTGAGCACTACACAGAGTATGCCAACAACTATAGAGTTTCTGAAATGGCTTAAATAACAAGCAGCAGGAGCTGATCTACAAGTTGGTCACAGTGTCTCTGCTCTGGACTGCTTTAATGGTGAAGTTGGAGGGCTGGGAACTGGAACTGCAGCTTGTTTGCCTCCTACGCTGCATCAGTGTTTTGGCTGCAGTCACGCACATCAAGTACTGAGACAAATGGGAAGAGACAAAGCCTTCCGTGTGCCCCCTAAGTGCTGTTCTGGGAACACAACCTTGATTGGCAAGGAGACCTGGGGTTTTGGATCAGGAAAGGCTGGCCATGACCTGGCCATTTATTCAGGGTCACAGACCGCTGACCACAGACTCTTTTTAAATAACATTTGGCTCTGGGAAATTAGAGAGTGCTCAGTGGAAGTTAATTTCTTAGAAATGCTCAGTCCAAAGCACAAATAGGACTTTATATCTCTGAATGAACAATCCATTTGACTATTTTTATTTTACTTATAAAAGGAGGTAACAAAAAAAGGACATATTACTATATAAATACTTTTAAAATTCATTTTTACCACCCAATTTATCTTTCTGAGTAACCTCAAATTACAGAAAGCAGTAGCTAAGTGGCTGCCTCACCTCCATTTTCAGACAGTTTCCCACGGTAGATCTTGTCCTCTACGACGTCAGTCCAGTACAGAGTGCTCTCGTTGAGATGAAAGTCCAGAGCGATGGTGTTCCTGAGCCCTGGCACCAGCACACTGAACTCCCCCTTGTGAAGATCAATCCTTCTGATCTCATGGCGGTTGGAGAAGATGATAAAAGGCTTGAAGGGATCTGAGGGCAAATAAGGTGTAACCGGAAAAGTGTTAAGAGTACATTTCATCTCAAAGTCCAAATTCCCAAACCCCTTGTTGGTCTTGGATAAAATCCTGTCTCTGAAATGTTTTCTTTTCCATCTGTCCCTTTCAAAGAAAAACACTGAATAACTGAAAGGGTTTGCTGCTCCCCATCTAGAATAAAAACATCCTCAACACCATGATGTTGCATTTTTTCTACTGCACTGAAACTGTACTTTGAACACTTTAAAAATATTATTAACATTTTAAACTGTATACCCCGGTTATCTAGGCCCTTTTTGTTTTGTTTAATGTATACCACGTTTATCTAGGCCCTTTTTGTTTTGTTTAATGTATACCACGTTTATCTAGGCCCTTTTTGTTTTGTTTTATGTATACCACGTTTATCTAGGCCCTTTTTGTTTTGTTTTATGTATACATGTCACACTGTGGGACTGCGGGAAACAAGTTTTTGAGATTTCTGGATGTATAACACATGTAGAATTTTTGACAATAAAGCTGACTTTGACTTTGACTTAATACTGTATACATAGAGTAGAATCAGTATGGTAATGCCTCTTCAGCCCAAGAACAATTATAGTGCTCTAAATCTAAAGGTAAAAATAACACGTTTAATGGCATAAAAGGCCCTGTTCTTAATTACCAGTGCTTTTGCAGCTCTCCATGTCCGCCTCCAGCTCCCAGCCCTCGTAGCAGGAGCACTTGACACTGGATTTCTCCTGCTCGCACTTCTGGCTACACTTGAGGTGTTTAGCGCAGAAGCTCTGGATCTGGCAGGTCTTGTTGTCGGCTCCCAGCTCCATGCCCAGGGGACACGAGCACATGAAGCCCTCCCCAGGAATGATGCTGCAGTTGTGGCTGCAGCCACCGTTGTCTAGTGAGCACAAGTCTGCCAGGAAGAAAAGGATGAAAGAGTTGGAACATATCCTACACAGGGGAGTAGTATGTTTTTAACCTGAGTTGCGCTTTGAGTAAAAAAATGTTGTGTACCACATAGTTTCTCGTCAGAGCCGTCCGGACAATCGTCAGTGCCGTCACAAAGCTTCTCAGCAGGCAGACAGATGGAGTCGTTGGTAGCACACATGTGGTGAGACAACTTGCACGCCAACGCCTCGCAGTTGTCCTCATCAGAGTTGTCCTCACAGTCACTGTCACCATCACACACCCATGCCTTGCTGATGCAACGAGCTGTCAATAACACAACATTAAGACTTTTATTTTAAACATATTTATCCAGATTGATGAAAACAAGTTAAAGCTTGGGTTGTCAGTGGATTGGCTCAGAAATGCAAAGTGAATTACATTTTTGTAAAATTGTCTTGACCCTTAAAGTCAGAACGGATTGAACTGGAGAGTTCATAAATAGAGGAAACTTGAACTAGCCAATATAAATAATCCTCCTTGCCGAATAAGAAGCTACGGTCATAACTTTCCTCGTTGTTTGCCACAAATTAACCAAACCATAAACAAGCTGCATTTGAAATGATTAGTCCTTATGTGTCAGAGAATAAAACCCTATTTGTACTAACATTATTACAAAAATCCCTAATCATCCTTAACATCTGAAGTCCCTCACCAGAGTCCCTGCAGCTGAACTTGACTGCTGGGTCACACATGTGGGTCACACCCTCGCAGTTGTTCTCATCACTCAGGTCCATACAGTCTGTGTCTCCATCACAGCGCCAGCGCATGGGAATGCACAGGCCGTCCATCCGACACTGGAACTCGTCTACATGGCAGCCACCTGGTGGACGGGTAGCTGGAGAAAAAACAGAAATACAAAGTGTTATCCAACAAAAAAGAGGAGGGTGCTGTTTATCAAATGTCAAAGAATCAATAAAATATCAGTAGAAGTCAGCAGCTGCAAAACACCTAGAGTGAAATCCTAACCAGCAAACAACACTCGCACAGACCACACACACTTGGATAAAAACAAAGAGAACAAAGAATCGGCCATTATAGTCATTAATAATCTGTAGGTATGCCCGGACTCTGTTTTAACCACCAAACACTGAGCCAAGTCAAACAACAATGACACACACAGCTCACTGACGGATGTCACAGGCAGATTAAAGGCCACCAACAGTGATGTGGCACAATGACTTCCCCTGATGGCAAAGGTCAGCACTTGGCTCCGCTAAGGCAGGAAATGGGCCTTTCAGCACAGGACTATAATACACTGGAGGGGAAGGCGATAGTATTGCATTTTTATTTCAGCTAATGACTTCCAGACTGCGAAAGAGCCCAAAAACACACACATAGCCAGGCACAAACACACACACAGAGCACAGATCGCTCATTAGACCAACAGGTCACGCTGGGCCCTGTTTGTGCATGCTGGGACTTGACAGCAATTGGCTGTGTGTCTGCATGGATCAGACAGCACATACAACATCAAAACACAAACACACAATAAACAAAAGCAAATGTTTCAGGCGGACGGAAGAAAAACTGTAAAACTGTGCTATGACGCCGCCCCAGTCGTTACACAAATGGTCACAGTGAAACGTAATGTTCCAAAACAGCCAAATGTGGCTGCTAGCTATTTTAAACTCTAAACATGTAAATCTGCAGCAAAGTCAAAACATCTGTGCCCGTTGCACAAGCCCAGGAAAGAGTTTAATTGTTATCTAACGACAAACACAATCACATCCTGAACAGAGCAACAGAGAGGATTTTCTGTAAGTGATATCTAAAAGCCAGAGGGCAGGCAGGGGCATGGAGAGCAGATAGAAAGAAAAATGATCCCTTTTTCATTGTTACAACCTCTTTACTGCAAAAAAGAAACATGTAAACAAATTGAAACACAATACAAGGTCTGATGAGAGCTTGACTCGGATACAGCTAGCGAAAGAACAAACAATGTCCCACAAAGTAACTCTTAGACCAGAGCTATGTCTGATTGGTACACACTGTCATTGGTCCTTACCCTGGTTGGTACAGTTGGCATGAGTCTCATCACTGTAGTCTCCACAGTCATTGTCGCCGTCACAGGTCCAGTATTCTGGGATGCAGCGGCCACTGTTACACTTGAATTGGACGCTTGAGCAGGAATGGCTGCAGCCGGCTTCATCGCTGTTATCCCCACAGTCATTGTCTGTACACAAACACGTAAAATATTTCATTTTCGGTTATTGCATTGTTTTATAATGTGCAGCTCACAAATGGAAGTCTAAGAAGACGGTTACCGTTGTCACAGCGCCAGTTGATGTTGATGCAGCGGCCATTGGCGCAGGTGAACTGAGTCAGAGGGAAGCAGGTTGGGTAGGCTGAGGATGGTTAAAAGAGAGAAAACATAAACATCATAACATAATTTATTGCCTTTTGGTAAAGGCGTTCTTGCAAAAAAAGCTGCAATATGCAAGAGCAAATAAAGACTCACCACAGGAGTCTGGTTCATCTGAGCGGTCTCCACAGTCGTCGTCCAGGTCACATGTCCAGGAAATGGGGATGCAGCGCCCACTAGCACAAGGGTACTGGTTTGGTGGGCATGTGCGAGCTGGCAAGAGAACAAGGGTTAAAACAGGAAAGTGTTTTTAAAGGTTCCTCTTTCCATATCCATGACTCAACATTTACATTTGCTTTGCCTAATGGCCCTTAACACTAGAACCGCCAACGGGTCAATTTGACCCGCAGCTGTTTTTTGATTGTATGTAACTTTTTTTCAATAGAATATTAAGGTCTCCCAGTCCGTGACTTTTCCTGAAAGGGTGTTATGTAGCACCCTCTGTTGTTAAAAATTGTCAATATGAAGTCAGATTGAAAAAAATCGCCAAAAGAATTGCCATTTATACCTATATCCGCCAGCGGGTAATATTTACCTCATAGAAAATGCAGCGTAAACATGACGTGTTGCTATAGCAACGCCTTTTGTCTACTGCCGTTCCTTATAGATCGAGAGATAGATTGAGAGAGAGAGATAGATAGATAGATATATTGATAGATAGAGAGATAGAGAAATAGATAGATAGAGAGAGAGAGAGAGAGAGAGAGAGAGAGAGAGAGAGAGAGAGAGAGAGAGAGAGAGAGAGAGAGAGAGAGAGAGAGAGAGAGAGAGAGAGATAGATAGATAGATAGATAGATAGATAGATAGATAGATAGATAGATAGATAGATAGATAGATAGATAGATAGATAGATAGATAGATAGATAGATAGATAGATAGATAGATAGATAGATAGATAGATAAAGATAGAGAGAGATAGAGAGATTTGTACCTAAACAAAACACAAGTCTAACACCAAGCATTTAAATCAGCACTGGTAGCGATATTTTATACTTCATGCTACCTGCACAAACTATATCATAAAAAAAAAAAAAAAGTCCATAGATTCTATTGGTATAAGTTTCATCCCTGTGCGATCAAAACTCACTGTTCTACATGATAAATAAAAGAACATTGTACCTTGAAAATCAATAGCGGGTCAATTTGACCCGTTGGCGGTTTTAGGTATACAGCGAACTCTGGCGGTTCTAGTGTTAAATAAGATATTGACTACCTCATTTCCCATATTCTATTGCTGCAATCAGTACTTTAAATAGGTGTTACCTAAATACAATATAAATAAAATATAATACAAATATTGCTGTCTCCTTAAATTATTTGGAGACACAGAGACAGCTACAAATACTGTTAGCTGAGTACTGTTGCTATGGTCCAGCCTATCCCCATAACAATGGTGTAGATCAATATTCCTGGACTGCAAATTCATGCTGGCATCCAACACACAAATCGTAACTGATTAACTCAGAACGAACAAATCCAAACATGTCTGCTTTAGTTGCAACTTGTCTGTCTGGCCAAAGTCCATTGTTTCTCTATTTTCACTTTTAATGTTTCTCTTAATCTCAACATGATGCTTTTTTACAATTATACAATTTTGAAACTATTTAAAACTATTTAAAATACTCATCATCTAACAGAAAACACCCTAGTTCCACACCAATCAATTAATTTCTGGGGTCTTGCAAACCAATAGCCAAACTGTAATACTCCTTGAGCTACAAGGACCTCCATGTTTGTTTATACCAGAGCAGGTGGTGTTGGATTCATCTTCATCATTGCCGCAGTCATTGTCTCCATCGCAGAGCCATCGCAGGGGGATACAGCGGTTGTTCTGGCATTTGAATCGGTCAGCTGGGCAGGTGTGCTGGTCTGGGAAAGGAAAATAATAATCTTCAAGCCACCTGGTTAATAAACGTTTTCTGTTTTGGATATAATATAAAGCCGGCTTAATCATCTTCGCCCTTTACATGTCACTTTTAATCAAGAGAGAAGAGAAAACAACGTCCAAGAAAAATATGAGTCCCTGTTTCTAACTATCGCCTGGCAAAGAGGAAAGCTTGCGAGTGACATTACACATTACGCTGCATGGAAAGAGACAATCTTGGAAAATGTAGCATGGTTCTCGTGAGCTAAGGCCCTAAAACACAGATTTTGTTTATATATGTGTTGCTGTGTAACTATGACAATGACATGGCACGCTTACGGCAGAGATCATGGGCCTCATCGCTGTTGTCCAGACAATCGTTGTCCCCGTCACACTTCCAGCGCTCTTGGATGCAGCGGTTGTTCTTGCAGGCAAACTCCCCGGGCTGGCACTGAGGCGGGGGCACGTAGGAGGGGTTGGCTGGAGATGAGATCAGGGGCAGGGGGAGAAACAGATGGGCCATTTAGACAAGAGCCGAGCACCAAAACAAAACAAAGCCTTGGTGAGGTCAGCTTTCAGCTTTCTTAAGGTTGCAAAATATTATTGGAGGTCTTTTAAACTTCTCTCCAGATTTCCCAAACACAGTGGAATTTAGTTTAGCAAATGGAAAGTGCAGCCTAGAATTCTTTAACAGTCTTAACTCCTGCTGAGTAATGACTTTTCCTTAACCCTCCTAATTGATGTTTGGTGAAGCCGCTAAGTACCTCCGCAGGTGACATTATCTCCATCCAGGATTTGATCGTCAGCACAGCCACAGGACCTGCCGTCGGGAATAGCAAGGCACAGACTGCTGCAGCCACCGTTGTTAATTCGACACTTATTGGAACCTACAAGAAAATTAAAATAAATAAGAACATATTATCATCGCATTTTATTTATCAGAAACTCTTGACGTGAAAAGGATAAAAGGGAGCTATACCTTGCTGCTGGTGTGCATCATACACTCTTATCTCAAAGATAGGGGGCCTCTCGTTGCGGAGGAGGGTGACGGTCTTAGTGACTTGGTCCAGTTTGTAGATGCTGCCGCCACGGTACTCATTCCAAAAAAGAAATTGTTTGTAATGACATAATCCAAAGGCGTGGTTAAGCTCCTGTCCCTCGTACACCACCTGATGAGTGAGGAAACATTAGATCTCCAGTTATGTTTTCAAATAGTAAGATAAAATATACTTGAATGATCCCAATTTGGGGTTATTGTTCGTCACAGCACCATAGATAAGACATTGCACATGAATTAGAAGTAAATAAAAAGATGAATGGACTGCGCTATTATCAGGTCTTTATACCTCCAAGCACTTTAACAAACTACAAATCATTCACCACATTCACATTCATAAATATCAATGCAACTTGCTCTAGGAAACTAACATTCACACACAAGGATTGCCCAAGGATACATTGACATGTTGACTGCATGGGGTGGGATTAAACCCACAACCTTCTGGTTGAAAGACGACTGCTCTCCCTCGCAGCCACAGTGGCCCAAGTAGTATCTCTTAAATGATTTGTATACACAGAAATACATCAAAGTTGAAACATTAAAAGCATTACCAACCTTTCTCTCAGTGGTGTTGAGGTAAACCAACTCAATACGGTCGTAATAAGCATCCACCCAGTACAGGATGCCCTGGGGAATGTCCAGACTCAGGCCATTGGGCCACAGCACCGTCTTGCTCGTCAGGAAAACTTGGTGATGTGAACCATCCATCCAAGCTTTCTTGATCTTTCCTCTGTTGCTCTCTGTGGGGTCCTCCTCCCAGTCAGTCCAGTACATCCATCTGGCACACATTCAAAAGTGGAGTAAGATAAGACAATTCTGTGAGAGCTAGTGCAGTCAAAATGTAGCTTTTAAGTTTCCATGCCCATTGAAACGTCAACCAACACAAACAACAGGGAGTTTCTAAAAATCCCTTGAAAGCTGATCAGCTCCCACAGACACATCAATGTAACAAATGTGCTAAACATCTACAATGCAGGCCGCCCACACAGCTGCAAGACACAGACCCTCAGACCATCTTCTCCCAATACATTCGGACATGCGGCTACACCCAAACATTAAAAACTTCAACAAAACATTTATGAGAAAATAACTCCTATTTAAGATGGAAATACCCTCCCCTTTAGTGTCTCACCCATTCTGGGGGTCCACCACAATGGCACGAGGATGGCTCATCTTTCCCTCAATGAGCGTCTTGCGGGTCTGAGAAGCCTTCTCCAGCCTGGCAACGCTGATAGTCTTTTTAGGCCCATCATCTGTCCAGTAGAGATTACCTCCCATCCAGTCTACTGCTATCCCCTCTACTGTGTGAATACCTGAGATAAGCCAAAGAAGCCGGTGTGAGAAAAAATTTGCCGGCAAATTCAGATTGACTATCAAGGGGATAAAATGAAAAGATTGTGTAATGACCTGACTATGTGATTTAACTCTTTGAATTCCAGGATTTGGTAAGAAAGTACTTACCTTCTTTGAGTATAGTGTCTCTCTCTGTGCCATCTATCTTCTGCCGGCCAATAATGTAGCTGGTGGCATCAGCAAAGTAGATGTATTCACTAAGTGCGTGGAAATCCAGAGCTCGAGGGTTCATGAGGTTCTCAATGGGAATCATGTACTCATCAGGCACCTTAGCGTTCATGTCCATGCCTCTGATGATTCCAGGACGACCTTTACCGTACACCAAGAACAACTCATGGTCTGGTTCTGCACGAAAAAGAAAACACTTGCAATGAAAAACTGTCATTACTTCTGCCAGCGATTGTGTAACCACCTTCGTTGCCATCATCCATTATCAGTGCTGAAACTAATGGGAAGGGGTTCATTTTTGTCAAACTATATATTTTTTTAAACGTACTCTTGCAGGACTTTCCATCGCTGCCCAGGCTGAATCCAGAGCGACAGCGGCATGTACGGGTTTTGTGGCTGTTGCTCAGCAGACAGATATCAGAGCAACCTCCAGCCTTCCCAAACTGATCCAGGGCACACGCATGGCTGCGCACTAAGCCAGGAGAGAGGGGCACAAAACCAGCCGTCATGCTATGGTGACTTATCAACGGAAATGGAGTAGGTGAGTAAGGAGTCAAGCTAAGAGCCTGTACCTTGGGGTTGGCGCCTCTGGTGGTACACGTGCAGCGCGGTCCCCCGATCGACCCGGGTCACCACTTGGAAGTCGGAGCTGTTGAAGCGGTTCACTCGGATCACACTGGTCTTTGAGTTGAGGTGGCTTTCGTCTGAGTTAGTGGCATACAGGTAGTTCTCAAATACAGTCAGCCCGTACAGGTGCTCAATCTGAAAAAGACCATAAAGCAACAAAATAAATTAAACGTTTTTTTTGGTTTGCTTTTGAAAATCCAGACCTCTAGACCCTGATAGTGTGATGTAACCCTGCCTTTATTAGCCCTACATTCCTAAATATGTATACACGTATGCACATACTGTTGGAGCATCTAAATGCGATTGTATAGATGTGTGTGCAAGTACGTATTGTAACTATGTATATTATGTATAATGTTTTCTACAACATAGTAAGCATTTCTCTTTACCCAGGATGACCATGTCTGCCTTCATATTGTGTGTCTGTTCATTATTGTAACAAAAAACGAAAAACAATAAAAACTAAGTTTAAAAAATAAAATAAAATCCAGACCTCTGTAAAAAAGCTTAGTGCAAAGGACTAATGGCTCTTGTTATAGTTTGTGGAGACTATTCTATCTTGAACGCTGTTTGTCAATTTCTGCATAATGAAACTTTCTTAAACTATTAATCATGATAAAATAAATCTTAAAAGTTTCTCAAGATGTGAATAGATCTCTGGCAGACAGAGACAGACAAATATAGACATGGACAGAGAAACAGAGAGAGTTTGTGTAAACTTGGCACAGGGCAGCATAATGGCTCCTCTTCCCTTCTGCTGTTACACAGAGAGGTTTTACTTTTAAAGGGTCTATTCTGTGCGGCTCTCCTCTACAGTCAGAAAGATGTATGGGCTGGGATCAAATTACCTCCTCTACCTCTCTCACAAGCACCATCTCTGCAGTCCTGATTTCATTATGATCATTACTCTACTTTACGTTTTAGCCAAGCTTCACTAGGGCCAGACTAATATGTTAAGAGAGGCACTAAGCAGGAATATCACACACTCTTTAGTAAGATTAATCAGGCAATAAAAAGGACTACCAAGGAGATAGAAGGCGGGTTCTGTTTGCCTTAATGCTGGGAGGCAACTGGAAAACATTGCCGTCTCTCAAGCTGATATTAAATCAATGCTGATACAGATTCGGAAAACAGATGTTTTGTGTTAACGAAGGAAAATCTGAAGTTAGTCAAGACGTCAGGCTATTGCTGTTTGGTTTAAAAGAGGGCTGAACAATCAGAAGTCTATATCCTTGGCTGCATCTCTGTGTATGTTTGGATGTAGTTGGTATTTAAATGAGTTGAAACCCATCCAAACATCCTTTAAACCTCACCAGCAGGCCCTGGATGATGGTGTGTCGGTTCTTTCCCTCGTAATCGACCACTTCGATGTAGTCCAGGTAGGCATCAGCCCAGTACACCAGCCGGTTGACCAGGTCCAGTGTGATGCCATGAGGGAAGACGATCTTGGTGTCCACCAGCTTTGTGCGGTTCTGGCCATCCATGTCACAGCGCTCCACCCTGGGCGTAGACCCGTAGTCTGTGAAGAACACTTTGCTGTAGCAGAAGAAGAGGAGCGAAAAGGAAGAGGCAGTTCAATAATGGTAAATTGACAGAAAATGTATTTTTTACTAGTGAGAGAAGGAACCGACTTAAAAGTAGCAATATTGATGTAACTCATCACTATGAAGTGAATGTTGATTGCACAGTTTATTGGCTATACAATAATGACACCCTGCGCTGTTGGTAGAGGAGCTTTGAACTGAGATTACTCTGGGCTCCACTGGGAATGACTTACGATATCATATATATGAATTTATTTCTTGCTTTCTCCCTTAAGTTCTGGATAAGGTTAATTTATGGAAGGTTTTAAACGTTTATATAGCCACTTTAAGCAATTGGATGACTGCTATTTGACTTCATATATCATTTTGTCTTGGCACAACACCAATGACCACAACAGAGATGGCTGTATGAGTCGGTGAAATGGATTCAAAATGACTTCCAGAAGAATTGAAACACAGAAGTGATACTTAAGAAAAGGGAACTACATTCAGCAACTTGTCGGTATCAGGAACCTGAAACAGCAAACATGCAAGTGTGTGTGTGGCGCACAAGTATCGGTCTTAGTTTCCATCTGGAGGAAGTGCTTTGATTTTCCACCGCCTGCTTGGTCAGCACGTCGTCTGAACATAGGACAGCATTTTCCTCTCAAATGATGCTAAAACCGTACTGAGGGTACTTTTTTAGGTCAAGAAGAGCTGAGGGAAGTACAGACCCCATTGCCGGGTCCAACGCGATGCCTTTAGGGTTGTACAGCTCTTGGTCCAGCAGGGTCACACATGTCTGGCCGTTCTTGTTGCAGACAAACACCCGGTCGTCCACGTCATCCACAAAGTAGAAGTTTCCGGTCAGCCAATCGATAGCCATCTTCTCCACATCTGAGGGATGCAGAGGAGAGAAGGTTGAGTACAGGGCAGAAGAATTTAAAAAGAAAAAACAGAGACTCTTGGAGTATAGTCGTAACTCTTGGTCATAATCCAGCCTCATTTAAAAATCCCTCACTTCATGATGCCATGACCCTCTCCTCAAGAGTGCCCATACTCTTGAAAAACAAAATAACAGCGCTGAACTAATAAGAGCCATCATCTTCATGTACTGCTGGGTCCAACAGGCTGTCCATTGCCAGCACTCCACTTGTCTTTGATTAAGGCAAGCAGGGCAGGGGAGAGGTAAAGAAAAACTCAAGTGACAGATAAAGAGTGAGAGGTGAAGGCCTGCACTTTTCGAAGCTGAACTCCTTTCAGTGGATTTGAGAAATAATAAATAACTGCTGTAAGAGGAGAGATTCTCTTGAAGACTTGAATTTTTGATTAATTTAAGAACATACTGTATTGTGAAATTCTTAGGTAGTGTATGCATGGCTCACTTATTGTAAATACATAAGACTTATATGGTAGTAGTAGTAGTAGTAGTAGTAGTAGTAGTAGTAGTAGTAGTAGTAGTAGTAGTAGTAGTAGTAGTAGTAGTAGTAGTAGTAGTAGTAGTAGTAGTAGTAGTAGTAGTAGTAGTAGTAGTAGTAGTAGTAGTAGTAGTAGTAGTAGTAGTAGTAGTAGTAGTAGTGTGCCTACTAGGGATGCTCCGATCGATCGGCCGCCGATCGATATCGGCCGATATTCACTCTCTGCCGATCGATCGGTGCTCTCTATAAAGGCCGATCGGGAGAGCCGATCACATGACGTAAAATACATGACACTTTTCTCTGTGCATAGATGTTAAAACAAGTACAATTACAAGAAGCATATGCGTGTGACCATAAATGGAAAACCAAACAACACAAAGTGACTAGGCAAAGTATGAATAGCATAAATGAGAACCACAATGGAAATAAGCCTTTGGGCTTCATTGTTTGTGAGTGCAATGCAGTCTTGTATTTGTTTTTTGAATAATGAATTCAATACATTCAATCAATTAATAAATACAAATGTCTCTCAAAATTACTGGAGGGATGAACATACTTTTGTTAGGAAGGAAATGTAATAACAAAAACCATGGCAGCACAGAAACATGACACATGGAGCTATGAAATGCTACCGATCAACTTGAAGATAGGTCAAAGTGTCCAAAAAATACTATTGCAACATTTGTGATAAAGGAACTTGACATTTTGTAGCCCCACTGCTTACTAAGGCAACTTTGAAAGAGGAAGATTTGCTGATGGGGACTTATTTCAGACATACCCCCAGCATTGGGAGGATTGAAGTGTTAAGTTAACATTGGAAATATGTCTCCCTCTCTGAGAACCTCTGTCCTGTAGGAGACTGGGTACAGAAATCCCCAACCACAGGGAGACCCTGCTGAGAAGATACGTTCAGCCTTGTGTTTTAACAGCTGCCACCACACTTCCTTTCAAAGCAGAACACTGTATACACACATACACATCAGACAGGCTTGCTACTCACACATAACGTATCAAAGTGACCACACGTGTCTCTCCAGGTAATCCAAGCAACAACTTTGATGTTGGGGTACATTATTGAGTTCTAACACCATCAAATCGTCCTAGGGCTGTGACCATTCATAAAGAAAACATCTGCGCTGGAGCCTCCCCAACAATGACAACCATGCTGCTTAAAGACAGAGCCAAAGCAAGCTTCACAAAAGAGCAAACACATCTGGGCCTAATGTAAAATCCCCCACCCCACCTACCAAACATACACAGAGCTTCAAAAGACTTGCCTCACATGGGACTTACAGTATGCCTGGTGCTAGAATATAAACAGTTCTGAGGGGAAAATGGGAAATCATGAAGGATGGGGTTGAGGCACTGTTCGACAGAAAGATAATCATAGCGAAATAAATCTGTATAAGAACATTTAACGGTGTGCCTCGAGGCGGGACATAATATATTGACAGTTGGCAAAGGACTTGGATATCTAACGTTTAAAAAAGGGAGGTAACTGTAAATGCATGGGGCAATTAAAAACTCATAGTCAGAGGAACAGAGGGAGGGAGTTAAAACCAGTCCAAGATGTTTCATAAACAACAGAACCACGATTCTGACAATGGGGGGAAGTTTGTCATGGAGTTGAGAGGGATAGTGATACTCCCTTTGGTATCAGCTCTGAAACCACACTCCTTTAAAGAAATCCAGCTGGAAGCCTGTCTGCACAAAGCATTGATTCGATTCATATACAGAGTAGAGGAGCCAGTTATGCAACACAGTTTCTATTGCGTTGTGCAATAGCCTAAATCTAGTAGACCCCCTTATCCAGAGCCAGCCAGTCTGTTGACATGCTCACTTACTCAGATTCTGGAAAGTGGTACGTTTGCTGGGAAACTGAATGAACCCACCCCTTTCTCCTCATCCAACCACCCTGCCCTCACAACCCCATTTCGCTTCCTGCCCTTAACACCTAACAGCTCACACTACTCTGAGAAAACGTTTCACAAACTGAGGGGGTCTTACTGGCAACAACAAACATGCTTTCTGCCAAAATAGCATAGGTATTTACATACAGGGCCACAGCCTTTGAGTTCTTCAACCGAGTCACCCAGCAGCGCCTAGAGTAGGGAATAGCATCTTAAAATGTGTACATGAATGTTATTTCCTCTGTTTGCATGTCAGCGCGCGTATTCCTTTATTTACATTTTAGCGCAAAGCAGAAAATAATCTTCATCATGCTGTTTTCATAATCCTCCCGTGCCAAGAGTATCCTATTAATCTGTGCAAAAGAAACCTCTTTGACCTCTCATAAGCAGAGTTTCAGAGTTAAGCCATTATGATTTTCCATAAGGATCTGACATATGAAATCCATTTAAGAGGCTATAATTCCTAACAGTTATGCCATTGGCAAATCCCCATCTGCTGCAAGTGGAAAAGAGAGGTTATTGGCTGGAAAGGAAGACCGGATGGCCAGGGCTAATGTGACATAATTCCACCCATGACTAAAAACTATTGATAAGAAAGAATGGGTTAAACACATGTCCTCGAGGTCAGATAGTCATGCTCTATTTGGATAATGTAGTACATTGAAGTCTAACACATTAGTATTTAGTACAAATAAAATACAGTAAACTCTGATTCTGATAAGACCGAATGCCTTGGAGGATTTTTCCCAATAAACTATACATTAATAATCAGATCTTGACTAATATATAGACATTTCTGTTCACTAATTTATTCTGGAAAAAACCCTGAAGAACAAAGGCTAGGAAGAAGGAGGTATGAACGATGGGCAGTGGGACACGGGGAGGGGGGCTGGTCCCTGCTGAGGAGTTCCGCTCTGAGGGTGAAAAGGATGGGATGAGTAGGCTCTGCACTCCTTTTATCTTCCCAGTCAGAGACTCACACATACAGACAGAGCGGGCCACATCTGGAACCCTCGTCCACTTATCTGCCCGGGTCCCAGAAGCTATAAATCAGCCTGTTTGTGTGAACCCTGCACCAACCCCCACTTGCCTTCATCCATATCCATCTAAGGCCAATCCCTAGGTTTGCCCTAGGAGAGCACCTGAGCCCCACTCATTATAAAACACCAAATAGGGCAGACAAAGAGCCCATGCTGGCCCCATTTATGGAATCAGAAATGTTTTGAAAGAGCAAGCTAATGTTCAAGTAAAACATGGCAAATGGGTTGTTCAAGACCTGCAGCATTTTAAAGCGAATGACCACAATGGAAATCATACAGTAAAAGCAGTAAATTGCCTTTTGACCCAGACAAAATAACAGAGGTTTTTCTTTGCTCTTTATCACAGTGGAAAGGCCAGACTGATGCAACTTTAAAATGATGAGTCAGCCAAAATACAAAGAGAGCCTCTTGTCTGTTTGCTCCCTGATTGACTGCAGACAGGGTTTCATAGTGGCGGTACACCTTTTCTAAATTCATCAAATAACATCTCAATAGATTTTTATGAAACAAAACAAACTTCCAGGAAAAGATGTGAACGGTGCCATGTCATACAGGAAAGCACCGTCATTTAATGAGAGTGTTTATTGTTCTTAGACACAAGACAAGATGCAACAAGATCTTGGTGGCTTACCAACACTAAACAATTTCCGGGCAGAAACCCTTTCCAGAAAACCCTAACTGTACACCAAAGGAAAGCAAAGCAAAGAGCCGTTGGAAAGTCAATACGCCCGACACAGCTCACTACCCAGCCATATCCTAGATTGATTAGGAAATCAATTACCCAATTGTTTTCCAAACTGCACTTTCTAATACAAACATTTGACAAGATACAACTTAAATGTATAAGCAACTGCTTATTAAAGTTTAATTTTAGATGCTGCCTCTCATTTACAGGATGATTTAGAAAAACAAGGGCACAATGCAACCATCTCATTATCTAAAGTGTACAGTAGTGAGACAGCACATGGATATATACAGTATGTGTACAGTGGCATTGCAAAGGAATGAGTAAAAAGTCACAAATCATAAAAGTTAATATGTCACTAAGTTATGGGTCTGTGAGTCAAAGGTATATGGGTCAGTGTGTGCGTCTGAGCCTCAGCTATGAGCGTGTTAAAGTGACCTGACTGGACAGGACATGAGACGGCCCGAGGAATGTAGGGGTTGTTCAGGCTGACATAACCCAACAGAGGAATGTAAATACCATCTGCATGACCACTTGCATACACACACACACACCTCCAAGGTACAGAAAATCACTACCTTCTTTCACCCCCCCCTCTCATTTGATCATTGCCTTGTCTCCCTTGCGTCAATCTTTCTCTCAGGGTCCACTCTACAGTTCCACCCCTCGCCCCCATTTACCTCTCAGACCACTTAACAGAGCGGTGGATTTGGAAGCCACACTGGCAAGCCAACACAATGAGGGTAAGGTGGGATATGGGTAACTAATGGGAGTGCATTGAATCAACTGGAAAATGCTAGGGTTCACTGAGCCTGGGATCTGCCCGGTTGTCAGCAGAGACAGCAGTTGCACAAGCGTCATTTAAAGTGCATATCTGGGAACCGAGAAAAAAAAATGTTTTCCAATCTTCTTTATTTTTTATTTCCTACCTATTTAGGGTTAAAGAAACATCTTGCAATTTAGACTTTTTTAATTTAATTTTTAAATGTTACAGTATGTCCACTGTAGAGGACGTCAGGGCCATTTTAGTTTGAAAAGACAGCCAAAATTAACAGATAGACTATGTAACGTATTATGGTTATAGAGTGATATTAATACAAGAATACATTCACCTTTATTTAAAACATAAATAAGTAATTGATCCAAACATTGCTGTTTATTTGGTCACTAGAAAACTAGTTTGGTTTTTGGTGAATCTTTCCAGATCTTCAAAGACTTTGTAGTTGTACTGGGAAAAGTACCTCATTGACTCCAGTCGGCTGCAGGGTCATCTTGACTAGTTTTATGGATGTGGTCTCCATTTGACCATGCTCATAGAAACAAACTTGGCATTCCTGAGGCAATTCTCATTTTTCATGGCTCCACTTAAAATAAAAACAACAATAAGACATACGTGCTACTCTTGGCCCACAGAGGGCCATGTCTTTCCAGCTCGTCCCTATCTGTCTCTATGTCTGTAGCTGTGCGCTCATGGAGCCTCCTGCATCTTTCCCCCCCCTTCTTCTTGACCCTCTTCTATCCCAGGTGTGAAATCCTCATCTCTCTCATCCGAGAGCTCCAAATCTGAATCTCCCTTAACTATCTGGTACAGAAAATGTCTGCTTCAGTTCCGTCTCCTGCAACAATATTGAGTCATTAAGTCCATGAAGATGGTCCTGACGTCCACTAGAATGGACATTTATAAAAGAGCTGTTAATTCAAAACTTGAATTATTTAATTGCTTTCAGAACTAATTATATAGTTCCTCAGATGTTAATGAACAAGAACATACAGTATATGATTTTCATGGTAAAAATTGCAATTATTCAACAATATTTGACTTCTCCTCCTGCTTCTATAAAATGTTGATTTTGGTATGCCAGCCATTTTGGATGAAAAGAAAGAGGAACTTCCCAGCATGCAATTGTAACCAATGACATATCACTGGAAAGACCAGGATGTCCTCTGTACAGTACATCAGAGATTGATAGAGTAGCTCAAAAGAGTAAAAAGGAGATGCATGTTAACAAAATGTCCACTACAGTAGACATTTTCAATGGTCTGGGTCCCAGGAGGATAAGCCAAGAAATCACGTCGCAGGTTTTCAGGGTCTGCACAACCGTCTATCTCCACTTGTTTTCTTCATGTCTGCCGTTTCATGCCTCGGGCTAGTTCTCAAGGGAACGCTTCCCACACGCACATACTCACACCCTCGCTTTTATGTTTTGTCTACATTTCTGCCCCCATTCTTAGGGAGTAACGGCTCTGTCAGCCAGTCGCATAAAAACAAATCCTGTCAGGCTCGTAATCAGTGATAAATCATGTCAGCATTATATGAACAAGTCTCTCAGAGGGCAGTGCTCTCATACTCTGTATGTTATTCTGTGTCTGTGTGAAAGCGCGAGTTAGGTCGTTGCCTTCACAGGCAAGACATTTCACTGTCAATGTGTATCTGTTGTGGTTTATAAAACTCCTATATCCTTCTTCTACATACAATCATGCGCTGTCCTCCTACAACGCCTTTCAGAACAAAATGTACAGTATTTGGGAGGACTTAGAAGCCAGAGTACTTCTGTAGGAGAACCTAGCGCCAAATGTCATATCAAAATCAGAGCCAGAGTTGGCTACAACCGATTACTTTCAAATGCATTAAACAAGATGCTGGAAAAAATACATTTCCAAGCTTATGAATAGCAATGCACAGTTGGTACATAAATCAGGCTACACAGTAGGTAACAGTTTGCCTGTCAAGAAATGTGCAAATGAATGCCTGAAGGCATGCTGCCAGCCATAAATGAATCATATCACTGTAAGTAAACTACACACACATATACTGCCTCTACGGGATGATTTAGTAGTGCGTCAGGAAGCCCCTGTTCTTCAAAGACAAACCTTTTAAAAAATAAAGCTGGACTCAGCGTTTTTTATTTGGCACTTTTATGCTGGTCTGAGCAGCTTTCGGAGATGAGGCTTTATTGCTTTACGTCTTACATTTGTCTGAGCTAGCAGATGCAAAGTTGACCATTTGATTCCTGAGGCAAAGAACAGAATTTTCACACGGAGCGGGCTGACAACTCAAACTGATTACCTCAGCATTGCTTTGAGTGCTCGTATGCAAGGAATTTGTTTCTCTTTCGCTGGCAGTCTACAGCTAAACAGTCATGGCCCTCAAAGAACCTGACAACATTTTTCTGTGTCAGCAGAAAATAAAATGTCTAGAAACAAAAGATTTCTGTTACAATCAGAGTCATTTTTGTCAATGAAACTACGACTCACGATGCAGGCTGAGGGAAATGTTGATGGTGCGGATGTTGATGACACTCTTGAGGTCAGGGATGCTGGCACACTTCAGCTGGGTGGCAGCAGGGGTGTCACCGACGTCTATCCAGCACACGGTCTCCTCGGCATAGATAAAGTCCATAGCCATGGTCTGCTTGGTGGCAATGGAGGGCAGCCGGGACGTGGATCCACTCAGAGAAGTGCAGCGGATGTCATTGAGGTTAGCAATCAGCAGCATAGGCAGACGATCCACTGGGTCTGGGGAGGGGACACAGAGAGAGAGGGCAAAATGAGAGAGAGGAGGCATAAGGGGAAAGAGATAGGAAGAGGAGATGAAGATAAATAAAAGTTCAATAAAGCTCTTTAGTGAACAAGCTTGTAAACCAAAAGACGATACAGCAGGAGAAACCAATATACTCATTTTTTAGGGTTGATAAATACATCTTGTCATTTTGTGCTTGTGCGTTCTCACCATTTTTGGCTTTGCAGGAGCGGTTGTCAGGCTGCACCAGGTAGCCCTCGACACAGCTGCAGATGTAGGAGCCATTAGTGTTCATGCACGTCTGACTGCACGTCCCGTACACATTGCACTCATTGAAATCTACAGGAAAAAAACAATGCATTTGTAGACACAGTCAGGGATTAAATACACAGAGAAGCTACACAACTTGTTACAACTCACTGCACTGGGTGTGCTTAAGATTTTAGGAAATAGCTAACAAAAGCAAATGGAAATACCAAACACTGGAATATGATTTTATCTTTTATCTTGGTTTTGGTTTGATAAAAACAAAACAACAATTCTTATTTTCTCTGAATGCAGCCAGCAAGCAAAAAGTCCAAAATAATCAGATGATTTTCATGAATTTTACTTTGGCAAGGCTAAAATACATCTTCCAAATCACCCACTCACCTTTACACGTCTTTCCATCTGCAGCGACCTCATAGCCGTTGCTACAGTAGCACAGAGGCCCATCATGAGTCACAGCACAGTGAAACTGGCACCCACTGGAGGCACAGTCTAGTGCCCGCTCTGAAGCAGAGAAAGAGAAAAACAACAAGTCAGAGAAATAAGAAATAGTGTGGAGGCTAACATGGAAAGGGGGGGGGGGGGGGAGCAGCATATCAGATTATAGAGCAAAAAAATTATGTGCAACAGTGGAGGCTAAAGGCAGCAGTAATTGTCTCAGGTTTGTATTGTATCAGCTTTCTAATGCTAAACTTTATCCCAATGCTATCTTCACGGAACCACACTGTCATATCCTATCACATCTCCACCGTGAGATTCCGATAGGATTGTGTGTGTTGTGTTGGTGTGTGTGAGTGTGCAGGCACAAGAGAAAGAGGGGGTTGCACACGTGGATCATGTGTATTCATCTGTGCATGTGACAGACGAGGTGATTTGAATGTGCACACGTTAGGGGCCCCTTCTTTCCCGCCCCCAGAGGGAACTCAAGGACACATCCTTTTTGCAGGAAATGAAAGAGGGGCATGCACTCATCATGCTATAGTGTGTGTGTGTGTGTGTGTGTGTGTGTGTGTGTGTGTGTGTGTGTGTGTGTGTGTGTGTGTGTGTGTGTGTGTGTGTGTGTGTGTGATATTACAAAACATACTGCTGACAGCTTCCATTAGCCTTAAACCTCCAAAGAACCTCCAACACTAACACACCCCATGCTGATCTAAATCGCTACATTTTACTCAAAACTTAAGTGAAACTGTTTAGAAACATTTCCATGTAATCATTTACCAAGTATAAATACCAATATAACAAAACTGTAAATAAAAGAGGCTTCCACTGTCACAAAGAAATGGACCTCGGTGACCAACAAAAAACAGTTAATGGTCATGGGCACAGTATTGCTTACAGTAGCTGGTGATATTATAGGTGTGAAGAGCGAAGATTGCATCAGTGAAGGACCCTTATTATTTAAAGCCTGTGGCACTCTGGGCAACAATGCCCCTTTTGTTGTGGCCCCACTGAAAGGAATAGTCCCCCAGCAAACACTGTGGTCCACATCGAATCCATTCACTGAGCCTCACACTGGAGAGACTTCAGGCAACTTGAGGGCTAAAATACCCACAAACCCACCTCTGTCATGGGTCATCCGGTTCCATTTGTACCCGAGTGTCTAACTTAGAGTGGGTGCTATTGCCAAAGTCAGTTTTGCTCTAATTGTCATCAATATTATCTCAATATCAACTTGTGATCAAACAAAGTATTACAATTGTACAGCCAACTAACATCTATCCATTTCTAAAACATATACCGAATATAAAATATTTATATTATATCATTTCTAATTTGTACATTTATAAATATTTTTTTGTTTTATATAGTATTTGAGTTTGTGTTATTTTTTTTTCTCCAAATGTTTTGGTAATTAGTAACGTAAGTACTTAATATACAATACAAAAATTATAATGTGTCAAACAATAAACTCTTCAAACCTCACCAATTAATGCATTATTAATAATTAGTAAAAGTTGTATTTCTCATTTACATAACAAGTGATATAAATACAGTTTAATCAACTTAGAATTGACCAATTATTAGTGTTAGTTAACTTAAACTGTTAAGTCATTATAAAACCTTTTTTTTCATAATTTCCTTTCAGAGACTGGGAAGAAAATACTTGTTCTAATTCTGAGAGCTTTTCAGTTGTGATACAAAAAGGAAGAGCAGAGGAGAGAAGGGAGGACAGACGATGTGAAGAGAACATAGAAGACGAATGGAGAGAAACAGGGTGGGGGGAGAAGAGGGAGGCGGGGCAAACAGAGGTGGAAAGGGCTTAAGGATATAGACTGATGAGAAAGTTCCAGCTCCAAGCAAACAAGCAACAGCAGCGTGTCAGACGTTTGACCAGGGGTTAATGAAGGAAGCCAACAAATCACACAGTGACACACTGCATGCCTTCAGTCCTAAACAAGCAGGCCAAAGCCATTGATCCTGTTACTGCATGGATGGAAACCCTCAATTTCACTCATCTATAGCTCTTGAAAGGGAAGCAGGCAGTGAGAGTGTAACGATGCTTGAAGGAAGGCAGGTTTAAATCAGAAGACATCTTACATGTGTGTGCAAAATTAAACAGACATCAATAACTTGCTGATGAAAAAATTGAAAGTTTTACTTTTAGAAGAAATTACATCTGATATGATATGATATGATACCAAATATGTCTGGAACTAGTGGTCCTATGTTTGGAGATTAGCATGAACAGCAACACAATATTACAGACAAGGAGAGAAAGAAAACAAAGAGAGGTAACGTCGATATTAAGAAGAGTAAAAACTGCTTTTGGATGGTGTCCACAGCCAGTCCATGAGGAAATATATGAAAGCTGACAAGGAAGGGAGCAACAAGTTGACGCAGGGTGTGAGTGTGTGACTAAGACAGAGCCTGGGTGGTGTTGAGGTCATGGCTGTAGTTACACAACAAAACTGTAATGACTGAATGATTTCAAAAACATAAGTCCTTAAAATATCAGCTGATCTATCCATCAACTGGCCTGAGGACAAAAAACTGTAAAATAAAAATATAAAGCCTCTGTATTTCTGTGTCCAGACTGAGGCCTTAACTGAAAGCTTAAATTCAAGGAAACACTCACTTTATAAACAGGCTACTCTAGTGTGTGACATTTAAAGGGAGGCAATTCCAAGCACATTCCTCCGTTACCTTTGTGCTCTCACTGTCTGGAAACAAGTCCATGCATGCCCCTGTCCTCTACCTGCAGCTGACAGGAGCCTATGGTTACATGGCTTTATCAAATTATTTCTACCTCGTAAATAAAATGGTTTGTACATATTTATGTACATTTTGTATGGATATGTATAACTTTTACTTAATTCATATGCATTCTAGCACTGCATATAACAGTATGAAGAATGTGGACAAACTTATCTTTCACTAATACTTTGAGAATACATATAAAATAAAATATGTAAAATAAAAAGCCATGCTAAGTTAAACACACAGTCAGGCAATTGCATTCTGTGACTCTGCTTTGTGATTATTTGGGGCATTCCACCACACATAGGTTGGTTGTAAAGGGTGTATTAACAGTGAGGACATTTGAGAACGAAAACCAGACTTAAAATGTATAATAATGTGTATATCCAGGTGTGGACGGACCTGAAAGTGTATATATTGGCAGTTGCATGGAGCTGCATAGTCAAAGAGGGCAAAGTAACCATCTGCAAACATGAGAAAGGCAGTGGCTTGTGTAATTAGCAAACAACGGCTATCGTAGTCCCAAACAGTGGCAGCATGCAGCCCCAGTTCAAAGACTGAAACACACACACAGACACACAAAGTACACAATGTGTCACAAAACAGTTTAACTTTCCTGAGAAAATCAATACTCAGGCTTTCTTCAATCTGCAGCGCATTTAGAGTCAAATCAATATTTGACAGTTTCACAACACTTTAGTGTTTCTAAATACAGTGATGGGAAAAGACTGGCAATAAAACAGGCCTAGTCATGAGAGACAACTCTAACTGCAGCCAATAAACTCATTTAGGTTAAGACCCACTCATGACTGAAGAAGAAAATGTGGTCTTACTACAGGCAACTTTAAGTAGCCTATGACCGGTCCTCCTTCCACAGTTAGTGGGACATGAAGGACAATGAAAGCCCTCTGCATGCATAAACAAAGGCATCAGGCCACGACAATAATCAGGGAGCCCTTTGAGACGGCGAGAAAAAGGAAAAAAGCCTCAAGAGAAGTGCCATGACCCCATTTCTTCTTCCCTATCAATCAGTCACTTCTGAGGGAGGCAGGTCTAAGGCCTTGCCCCCCAACAGAGGCCCCATCGCCCGCAAGATGACAGAAAGGACAAATGCAGACTTACAGATCAATGAAGACTCAACTTTCACCCATATGACAGAAAAACAAGATAACTGCCAATTGGCTACACTTAGTTTATACAAAATAAAAAAAGGCATTTAAGTATAGGCCTGAAACTATACTTTGTGTTTTAACCAAAGGATGGCAACGAAAGTAAAACAAGCTGACTAAAAGGCATGATTTAGGTTTGGATCACTAAAGCAAGTAGGAAAACATGCTCATCATGTGTCTTTAAGGTGCTCTTGAGGAAGGGCCAATCCCTTACTATGACTTTATGCCTCTTTCTTTTGCAATCAAAAAAGGGTAACATTTTTAATCTGGTAGCCAACGCTGCCCTCAGCTAGAGTAAGTGCAGTAACCCTGGCTATTCTGCGGCCAGCTAATGTTCTGATGTCTAAACCCTGCTCAGTAGCGTACCTACCTAATAATATTGCATAGTTTCTCAGTGGTAAGTAAAAAAGCTTCAAAAACATTTTCATTTTCAAAGACTGCATATGAATATTATTCATGTACTGGACTGTTGAAATGGCTTTGGAAAAGAGTCAAAAAACTCAAATCAAATGTCAGATTAAGTGCTGTGCTTTACGCAATCAAGCCAATTTATCAGAAAAATTGCCTCCCACAATAAAAATGCTGAGAAAAAGGATTTCAGCCTGATACAATTCCTGCCTAGCATTGCTACACTCCCCTTTCTAACCACTCCTGTCAACAACTTTGGCAGAATAACTTGGACACACCAAGCGACAAAGTGTGCTTTCAGACATCAGGGCCCAGGTATACTTTGCACAACCTGGCAGTTTGTACAAGCAAACACAAGGATGCTTGTGAAAGGCCAGGCCTTTCCCCAAAAAGAGGGGAGCTCAGAAACAGCTATGCCCAAAGTACTGGACACACTGCTGGTGTGTTTGGGTGTGTATTTGCAGGAATGTGAGTTTGTGTGAGTATATGCATGCATTATAAGCTCATGACCGAGGACAGCTGGACTTATGTCCTCAGGGACAGGCAGTGCATGTTGTGATTGGATGACATCATCACTGTGTTGTGTAAAGGCTTGTCTTGCAGTGATGACCAATGTGTGGGATGCAAACACTCTCACCCACTCTGTACAACTGTCCACTTCATCAGCCCAACAATGATCCTGCTCTTCGCCAAGAGCAACATATAAAAGGCTCTGACTAATGCACTAAACATTTGAATCTAAAAACTCTATTGCCGAACTGTGTACAGGAAGAACACCATTTAGAGATACCGCATTGCAAGAAATAAGAGAAATACACATTTTAAAAATAAACAGACCTACCTTACCTAAACTATTTATAATTCTTCAAATACCACACTGGCATAGACAACAGAAGGGTTGGTTATCATTAAAAAATTGGCAGAAGAGATAAGGTGATCCAAGATTACAGACATTGCTTAAGAACCAACCCATGTTCTAGGACTTTGGTTCATGGAAATTTGATTGTAAATATTTGAACAAGTGATTTTATATTCAAGGTAAGGGATTTTGATAGTGAATATCTCAGTGTGTTCTTACTACAACAAGTAGAATGGAGAGACAGATGAACAGGCGTGCACAACAAAGAGTAAAAGATAAAAGTATGTATCTCAACATGAGTTATTGCAGCTATAAACAGACAGAGCTTCAGACAGCTGTATCTAAGGACTGCCTTACTGAATACAGAAGCCATCCTCTGTAGGAAGCCAGTGTTGTTCCTTTGTCTGCTGCAACAAAGACCGACACTATGGACCCAATATGTACCATCACACATTCTTCAATCGACTCTAATTAATAGTAGAGGATTTGATGGGATTCTTCTCCAGGCTGAATGCTCATCATTCCCACAGGGATTGGGGGAAAAGCCTCATGGCTGAGCTGATTGATAAATTAATGACTTTTTTCCCCCAGAAAGAGAAATTCCATTGTGATTGCAGCAGAAGCAAGAGCAGAACAGCTCATTAAAGGGCCTTATACAGGAGATTATTGGACAGAGATTATGGTTCTGGATGAGAAGACAAGTAGATGCTAGCATGTTTTACTCATAACAAAGATCATACAATCTCTTCGGAGTTGGTTTTGCAGAAAATGGGAGTGAGTAGATGAGTGTGTATACATGTGTGTTAATTACCTCTACAGTGAGGGCCCTCGTCCCAGCCGTCAGGGCACTCGGGGACTCCATCGCACAGTTTGCTCATATGGATACACACATCTGGGGCGAGGCAACCGTGTTCATTGACAGGACACTGGCTCACCCTGTTGTGAGAGCCTGGAGAAAAAAAGATAAACATTTAAGGATACACAGCAGTACAAAGCAAAATATAGAAAACCAAAGTGCAACAAATGACTTGCGTGAAGTGGATAAATCCACATTTAAATGACAAATATCAAGCGTTTAACATGTTTGTATTTGGTTTGATAAACCTACAGCCTACACATGCTGATCTTAGAGTATATGTTTGGACTATGGCTATGGGCTAGGTTGAATCCCTAGCTGTGGCCCTCTAGTTTGATTTCATCCCACCTGGAAAGATATAGGTCATTCGAAAAAGAAGAAAACATCTATTCTATTATTATTATATCTGTTACTTGATCAGGAAGTCTGTTTGAGATCAAAAACTGTTTTGAAAGAGAGACCCGAGTGCAACAGAATACATACACAGAGATAAGACACACATCAAAACACAGCCTGGATCAAACAGAAGACGAAATCACCAAATGGAACTGGCTGCCTTTGCGGTTCACATTCACATTGTTCAATTCATTTATTTCCCGTTGTGACAAAGGCACTATCATCAATCAACATAAAAAAAAAGCACATCTTCTCTACAGCCTTTAAACCTTCATTTTCACTCGTCAATCAAGTGTTGCCAGGGTGGACCAACATTGTACTGGTTAAATCCACATTGACATATAAAACCATAGCAGGTAAGGCAGATAAGGGGTTCTGTTGGATATGATTTTTTAGCACATTAGATATTCCCTTCATGCGAGGTCAAATATTATTTGCATGTAACATGTGCACATGCAGTTACTCCATATACTGTGCACATATATTGCACAATATGGCAAACAAGTGAAATATGGTGTGCAAATGCAATCATTTTGAAGATACCGAAGGAACATATTACAAAAGTAAACACTCTGAGCAATATATTCAATGTAAGGGGGGGGGGGGGGGGGGGGGGGGGGGGGGGGGGGGAGGGGAGGACAGAACATGATCTCCTCTGGTCCAGAGAAAGCAAAGATGTTTTCTTTACCGATCTACATACAGTCTCTTTCCTTCATTCTCTCCCACTCCTCTCTCGATCACTCCTCTCAACCCACACTGCAGAGCAAACAGTTTGTTTTGGCTGTCTTTCTTCTTCTTCCTCCTCCTCTTCCTCCTCCTCCACCTCTTTCCTTTCTCTCTCTAACATCTGCTGACCCATTTTATAAAAACACTAGAAGGAAAAAAAATGAAGTTCACCGCCTTCACAGGAAACGATCTGCAGAGTTCTGCGGAATCTGACATACTCCGATTCTGAAGGAGGCAAGTGAAACATGTTAGCTGCTCTGGCTGCAGCCTTTCCCAGAACCGTACATAACCCGCAGAACTCTACAGATCGTTTCCCGTTAAGGCGGTGAACTTCATTTTGTTTGCGTCTGAATATTAAGCAGCTAAAATGCAAATCATTGGACCCTTTTTTCTGCCTTGTGCGTTTGGGTTTTATGAGTTCTGAAGTGAGACTAGAGGGAGTTGTACTGTAAGTTACAAACATATGATTGACTTGACATTCAGTATGTAAGTTATTTGTGTCATGCAAATCCAGTATGACTTATGGGAAGTTATAAGCTCTTGAAAGAAAGTTAAAATAAATCTCTCGTATTCATACAAGACATGCAATCACATGTATTAAAGTGTGGATGTGCATAAAGACTTATGAGGGAGGACATCTGCATGCATGTCGGCATTCCCTGAAGAAACCACAAGCATTCCTTCCAAGTCCTCTCTCTCCATCCAATAGATTAGTAACCACACAGATCATAAAATGTAACTCAGTTAAAACAAGCATCTTAAAGTGACAAGAGCTAGCATAATGATCCCACCACAGCAGCCTCTGTGGAGAATGTGGCATATTCCAACAGAGAATTAGCTTTAAAATACATCTGGCTTAGGGAGGGAGAGAGAGAGCTCTCCCATCTGGGGGGGGTGCGAGTATATTAGCAGCCCCCCTACAACCTCAGCCTCTAAGCCAGCCTGATTTACATTCAATAAACTGCCAACCCGGGGCTTTTGACATAAACTGCAGCAACCAGAATGAACTCACTGCACACTGGAAATGGAACAACTGCCTAGGATTTGTCATATGTAAACCATTTTCTCTGAGTATAAAAAGACAGAACGTCATCTTACGGCCCCCCATTGCATGGATCGGGTCGGGTCTGTCTTTGCAACTATATGCATGTTAGCATATTTGACAAAAAATGATGTGTCACGGATTGAGCTGACCGACGGACAAACTAATTAACTGACAGTGTGGTACACTATACCAGGAACCAGGTGCTTACACACTGCTGCCAGCAAACACTGACAAAACAATAACTCTGCTTTCCATCACACACACACTTCTACCTTTTCACTCACCGGGCAGCAGCAGAATATGTTTAACTGCCAGCGATACAAAACAGCCGGAAGGAATTGTTTGAGTTCCACAACACAGTAATACCTTGGCAGGAGCTGAATAGAGTCCAGCAGCAGTAAACTAAATAGAAAGAACAATATGAAGGATTAAATAACTTTGCAGGAAGGACAATGGAGATGAATCCTGTACTTCCTGCTCCAGTTTGGGAAGTTGTTGGCAGTGTATTACAATAACCTCTGCTCATACTGGCAGTAGTCGTTTCCTGCGTCATCTGTTGTCAGTGGAAACCAAGCATTACTACACAAATCTGAAGGGAACGAACTTCTTCTGTCCTTTTTTTATATTATTGACACAGACAAAATAGTACTCCATTGCATTCACTAATCTTTGTGACACAGTCATCAACTATCTCATTTGAGTGTTTATATTTTGGGAAGATCACTGATCGCAGGAAGCAGCATTGGCCGATCTGAATTTAAAGCCGTTTCTACTCACTGGTCATCATGCAAGTATGCTCCTCTGCTTTTCCTATGTTTCATTAGTTTCTGTCTATGTGTCTATCCTACTCCCAATGTGATCACATGAAGGTTTTGGCAGCTTTCATAGTCAAACTGGATATGTATTCAGTGTGTCAGTGAAGCAACAACGTGTAAAGCAATTCATCAAGCCTGCAGTGCCTTTTTTTGATCTGAAAGATAAATTGTGTTTATATAATGAAATATTTGTCCCTGTCTGTCACAATAAGAACTACAGCAGGTGGTTCTTTTGTTTAACTTGGTCATACGCTTTGGTATGGAAGTTAATAATACAAAGTTCAGATCTTTAAACATTTTGGGAAATCAGCACACTGTGTTTATAGTCATCAGAGAAACTTAATCTTAACCCTAAACTTGCATTAGAGGGTCCAGCTTTCTATTCACATTCCTTTGTGGCAAGTTATGTATTTACCAGCACAGCTTTTCTTTGCATTGTTATGTTGATTACATTGGAAAAAATAAATGTAACACTTAAAAGGAGAACTTAAATGCAAAGTAAACCTTATTACTAACATTTATACGCTTATTTATGTTGCCTGTCATTGCAAAGCCAAAACCAAAGACTTGTTTTTCATTTTTAAACAGGCTGACAGATCTATTTATATTCAAACACAAACATTTTCAAAATGAAATGTATTTTATAGTGTACTCATCTTGATAAAGTTGTTTAATTGTTTTACTTGTGCCTTGCCTTGAGTCAAAAGTGCCTCCGCGCTCTCACCTCATAAAAACTACAGTACAACTGCTCGGATACAATCTTCATAAAACGAATCTCTCTGTGCTATAAAACATAGATAACATTATAAATAATTATCATCTGCATCTGTTCAGGGCCATATTTGCAGATACCTTCCTGAATCCTTTTCTCAGTTAGCAGTAGGCCACAAGTAAATACATGTGAAACTAATCATTTCAAAACATGGATATTTCACTGGGCACTAAGGATTGACTAGATGAATAGGGATATAGACTATCTGGATTGCTATGTCTATTAATATAGGCATGATTTGCCCTAAAGTATCATTAGCAGAGGCTATAGAAATTTCTAAAGGTGCAAATGAGTATAATTAATACAGAGCAATATCCAAAATAACTTAACATGCCACTTCACTAGAATTGCAGATAAGTTTCAGTGAGTTTGGCAATCTCAGAGACAATGCACTGCAAGTGAGAACAATGGAAGAAGCCTGGTAGTGCAGTGGATAACGGAAAAAGAAAAGGAGGGGAAATTACATCCCTCACACCTATTAGACGCCGGCAGAGTGAAGATAATTACATTATCGCACTAAACTGTGTGATCAGCTAACAGCGATATTAGCATATCATCACTGTGTCCTCAGGGATCTTATTTCTTAAAATCTTTCTCTTATCTGCCGTGTGATCTCACTCTCTTAGCCTGATATGAGAAACACACATTAAAGCAATGAGCGCTGGGATTCGTCATGATTAAAACATTATCAACTATGAGTCATAATGCAGAACTTAGTTCCTGCTTTATTGAAACCCTCTTCGCAGCGTGCACTCTTAAGAGTGAAATATGACTTTGTGCAAAGACAATATTACACATTCCCCCTGAGAAGAGTGTAGATTTAAGTAATTCATCACTTCCCGTGTCACCTTCAAATAATCCCCCCCACAGAGTTTAATCGTCCCTTGTTTTTAGCTCTGATTTCCACTATCTTGCCTGGCTGGGCGTTGGGGTTGTGACATGGAAGAAGGTTTCTCCGAATGTGTGTTTCCCTCCAACACCTCAACCTCTGGACCCCACCATCCCCCATCCCTCAGTTCCCGTAGTTATGCAATGACCTTAAATTTGGATCCCCTGTCGATCTTTTGTCCTTAGCATAAAAGCCGTCTTTTCTTCCTACTCTTCGGGGTCCATGCCAGCCCCTGACTGACTCCCATAAAGTCTGCTGTCAGCTCGAATGAATATGCTGTGCAGGGTGACAGGCAGGCCGGCCCACTGACTAACTCTCCCCTCTCTGGAATCACACTTAACAGCAGCATGCACAATAAGCACATGGCTATGGCAAACCCTACTGAGGCAGCCAAAGCACACAGGACTTACAGTATGGCACAGAGTGGGAGAATCTGAAACATGCTTATTT